CGGAGCGAGCGGGGGAAGGGGGGGGACCCCGCGCTGCCCCTTCCACCGGGGGCCCCCCAAAAGGCCGGGCGGGGATGGGGGTCCCGCGGTGAGCGGGGGGCGCCGCCGCCGCCGCTGGTTTGGGGAGGGGGATGGTGCTGGGGACACCCCCGGGATTGGGGGGACACCCCCGGGATGGGGGGACACCAAAATTTGGGGTCTGCCCCATGGCGGGGGTGGGATTAGAGATCCACGGGGGTCCTGGGGGGGTCCCAGGGATGGGCCCAGGCCACGTCCCCTCCTGGGGACCCCTCGCTGGGTGGGTGGGGGGGTCGCTGCTGCCCCCAAATTCTGTCAAATTCTGCAAATCGTGCCCCCCAAAATTGGGTGATGCCAAGCGGAGTTGCCATGGCGACAGGGCACAGAGAAATTCGGAGGTGGGGGCGCACCGGGGGGCACTTTGGGGGGGCTGCTCACCCCAGGGGCGACCCCAGACCCCGCTGTGGGGCAGCTGCTCCCAATCCCCCCCCCACACACACATCTGGCACGCACAGACGGGTCCCCCCCAGTTTTTGGGGGTCCCCAGGATGCTCCCGGGGGTCCCGGCGTGCCGGGGGTGGGGGGCACCCAGGGGGATGGGAGGGGTCCCAGCTCCCTGCTGGCACCCCCAGGTCAGCCCAGCCGGGGGTGGGGATGGGGCAGGTCTGTGGGGGCACCCCGGGGTGGGCTCGGGGGGCTCGGGGGGCTTGGGGGGCTCGGGGGGCTCCCCTCGGCTCTGCCAGGCAGCAGTGCCATGGCAACGCGGCCTGACCCGCGCCACAGCCTCATTAAATTAATTAATTCCGGCACGGAAATCAGCTCCGCGCAGCGCCGGGGGCCGGGGGGGCGAGGGGGGGTCCTGCTGCAGCCCCCACGGCACCCACGGGGGACACGGGGGACACGGGGGTCCTGTCCCCCCCCACCAGCACCCCACAGCCCGCGGCTTTCTGCATCCCACGGGGGCATCCTACAGGACACAGCACCCCACATCCTGTGGGGCTGTGGAGGCTGCAGCACCCCACAGCATCCCACGGCATCCTATGGCATCCTATAGCATCCTACACCACCCTACAGCCTCCTGCATCACCCCACAGCATCCCACAGCATCCTGCATCACCCCACAGCATCCTACCTCACCCCACAGCATCCCACAGAATCCTATAGCATCCTGCATCACCCCACAGCACCCCACAGCACCCTGTGGGACACGGACCCTGCATCACCCCACAGCACCCCACGGGCTCTGGCCCTGCACCCCCCAGCACTGTGACCCTACAGCATCCCGGGACCACTCCCCATGAGGCCCCCGCAGCCCCCCGGCCCCAGCACCCCCCGTGCCCCCCCCCCGGAGCACGGGGACACCGGGGACACCGGGGACACCGGGGAGGGACACCGGGGACAGCGGGGACAGCGGGGACACCGGGGACACCAGGGACACCGGGGGCTGCTGACCCCGTGCCAGTGACTGAACCCCCAGAGCGGCGCTGGAAGGGGCAGAGCTGTTCTGGGGGGGGTCCCCTCAGTGTGGGGGGTCCCACTGAGCCCCAGTCCTGCAGTGACCCCCAGGACACCGGGAGGGGAGGGGGGACACCCCGTCTGGAGCTGCCACTGCGGGACTGGGGGGAACGGGGGGTCCCTGTCCCTTTTTGGAGGGGGGGGGTGACAGAGGGGGATGGGCACACCGGGGTCCCCGAGGGGGGGGGGGGGCGCTGGGCCGGGGCCCCGGGGATTAACCCAACCCCCCCTCGGCGCTGCCCGGTGAAATAGGTCACCCGGAGATGGGGGTGGGGGTGGGGAGGGGGCGGCAGGGCGGGACCCCCCCCCAGCGAGGCACTCACGTAGTCATGGAAGGCTTTGGCCTCGCTGGAATGCTCACAGGTCTCGCGGCGGTCCGGGGCAGCGCAGTACAGATCCCAAAAAACGCTGGGGACGGGAGGGGGCACAGGGTGAGACCCCCCACCCCAAATCCCACCCTGCACCCCCTTTCCATCCCGGCCCCGCTCTGTGTCCCCCCTCGGCGGGGGCCCCGCGCTGCCGCTGTTTGCCTGGATCCGGTCACTCCATCCCAAATTCCTGGGACTTGACATCAGGCTGCAGCACCCCGGCCGGGATTTGGGATTTGGGATTTGGGATTTGGGGAGGGGGTCCCCTGCCCGCGCCCCCCGCCCCACCGTGGGACAGCACAGGGGTCGTGGCTGCTCCTGGGTGTCCCCCACAAGGTTTGGGGGTGCTGGTTTAACCCCCCCTCGCTCTGTGTGTCCCCCCTAAATCATTCACTGCCCACTCCCCAAAGTGATGTGCCCCCCACACCCTCCTCGGGGGGCTCTGCTGAGGCCCCCCCAGTGCGGGGGTCCGGCCCCGGGGCTGGGACCCCCCCCAGCCCCTCTCCCGGTGCCGGGACCCCCCCCAGCCCCTCTCCCGGTGCCAAATTGGATCCATCTGGAGGATCCGGGGGGGGGGGCCGGGCTGGGAGGGAAGGGGGTCCCCAATCGCTGATGGGAAAAGCAGAGGGACAGATTTATGGGGTGCGAGGTGGCAGAACGGGGGGGCGCAGCTCCCAGACCCCCCCCAGCCCCTCTGCCAGGGAAATGGGGTGGGGGTCCCCCCTTTCCAGCCCCCCAGCCCCGCTCACCACCACCAGGAGTGCAGGAAGCCGGGGGGCTCCCCCAGCGTGATGTTCTTCTCCCATCGGATCTGCGGAGAGGGACACGAGTGGGGGGTCAGCGACCCCCACCAGGCACGGGTGGGGCTGCGGGACCCCCCGTGGGTTCGTGGGTGGGACGGGGGGTCCGGGGGTGCCGCCCTGCCCCCCCTTACCTCCGACAAGAAGGTCTGGGCGGATTTCTGCGCCCCCACGTGCAGCAGGTACTCGTAGACGTAGAGCGCCAGCCTGGGGGGACAGGACGGGGACAGGGACAGCGTCAGGGACCTGCCACCCCCACGGTGACACCCCCGCCCGAGGGACGCGGGGACAGCCGGGATGGAGCCCCCCACTCAATTAGCGCGGAATTAATGACAGAGGAGGCTCGATGCCACCTCCCTGCGAGGGACCCCGGCGGTGACACCGAGTGACCCCCACCGGGTCAGGACAGGTGACACAACCCACGCGGGATGTGGCTCAGGGGCGATGTCACCCCGCGTGTCCCCGGTGGCACCCACGGAAGCCCAGAGCCGCCCCCGGTGCTCCGTTCCCCCCCACCCCCGGTGCAGGAACGGGACCCGCGGCGGTTCCAGCCCCGGGGCCGCGGTGGCCTCGGGCACGGGGACACGGCAGGACAGCGACAACCGGGAGCGGCGGGTCACGGTCCCGGGCACCGGCGGAGCAGCAGCAGCCCCGGTGCCATTCCGGTCCCCGCTGCCCCCGGGGATGGCACGGCCGGGGAGGGCTCCCGGTGCCCTGAGGGATGCTGCGGACCGGGCTCCCGGTAGTCCCGGGGCCATCGCGGGTCACGGTGCCCCGGGGGATGGCAATGCCCGGGGGGATCACCCCGGCTCCCGGTGCCCCGGAGGATGGCAGAGACCGGCGGGCACGGCCCAGCTCAGGGCAGGCACGGCACGGTCCGGGGGGATCATCCCGGGTCCCGGTGCCCCGGAGCACGGCACGGTCGGGGAAGGGGCATCCCGGCTGCCGGTGCCCCCGGGGATGCCGCAGACCGGGGAGATCATCCCGAGTCCCGGTGCTCCCGCAGCTCCCGGTGCCCCGAGATGTGGCAATACCCGGGGGGCACATTCCGGCTCCCGTTAGCCCCGGCGTGATCGCGGCTCCCGGTGCCCCGGGGGATGCCACGGACCCCGGCACACTGCAGCTCCCGGTGCCCCGGGGGATGTCACGGACCGAGGGGGATCATCCCGGCTCCCGGTGCCGCGGGAAGTCACGGACCGGGAGGATCATCCCGGTTCCCGGTACCCCGGGGAATGGCACAGATCGGGGGGGAATCATCCAGCTCCCGGTGCCCCCGCAGCTCCCGGTGCCCCGGGGGATAGCACGGACCGGGGGGCTCATCCCGGCTCCCGGTGCCCCGGGGGATGCCGCGGACCGGGGGGCTCATCCCGGCCCCCGGTGCCCGGCTGCCCCCCGCCAGCTCCCGCTGCCCCGCGGCTGCCGGTGCTCCCCGGCGGGGCGGGGCCGGGGGGTCCGCCCGCCCCCCGATCTCCCCCCCGCTTTTCCCGATCTCTCCCCCACCTTCCCTCCCGCTCCGTCCCCGCTCCCCCGGCGCCCGCCCCGGCAAAAACTTCCGCGCCCCGGCCGTTCTCCCACCGCCGCCCGGCGCCGCACTCACTTCTCGCGGGCCTGGCCGTCCGAGGGCACGCCGGAGCCCTTGCCCTTGGCGTACATGGCGCGGCGGCGGCTGTCAGCGGCCCCGGGCCCGGCCCCGCGCGGCCCCCGCCGCCCCCGCCGCCCCCGCCGCCATCCCGGCCCGGCCCGGCCCGGCCCCGCCGGCTGCGGCCGCGCGCCCGAGGGGGAGCTTGAAACCGCCGCGCCCCCCCCGCGCGGCTGTTCCGGCAGCGCCGCCACCACCCCCCCCGCGCCGCGCGCCGCGCTTAAAGGGGCGATGGCGGCGGGGGAGGCGGTGGGGACCGCACGGGGAGGGGAGGGGGAGGCGGACACGGGGGACGCGTGGAAGGTCACGGACACCACCGGGGGGGACAGGGGGACGCGGATGTGACGGGGAACGCGCAGCTGAGGGAGTGGGCGCGGGGGACGCGGGGACACGGGGGCGATAAGAGGACACGGGGGATGCACGCCACGGGGTGGGCATGGAGGGGCAAGGACACGAGCGGGGACGGGGACACGCGGGGGTCGTGGGCACGAGGGGGTGGGTTAAACGGGTAGTGGCACGAGGGGACATGGTGGTCACGGAGGGACACGAGGGGGTGGGCACGGACACGGCGGGTGGGCGTGTGGCAGGGTGGGCACGGACGGAGGGACACGGACACGAAGGGGTGGACACGGGAGGGGGGACACGGGGGGACACGGATGTGACAGGGTGGACACGGACGCGATGGGGTGGACTTAAAGGGGCAGTGACACGAAGGGATGGAGACAGGATGGTCATGGAGGGACACGGATTTGGGGATGGACACGGAGGGGCACCAAGGGGGTGGCCACAGACACGCGACACAGAGGGACACGGATGTGACGGGTGTATGTAGACACGACGCGGTGGACACATGCAAGGGGTTGGGCGTACATGGGCACAGACACGACGGGGACACACGGACACGAGGGGGACACACGGACACGAGGGGGACACACGGACACGAGGGGGAGCAGGTAGTCACGAAGGGACTCGGACACCAGGGGGCGGACACGGACACGGTGTGACACGAGGGGACACGGTGGGAACACAGAGGGACAAGGATGGACACAGGGGGGTGGACGTGGAGGGACGTGGACACCGGAGGGGGCTTGGACACGGGGAGTGGACACTCGGGACACCGAGCTGCAGACACCGGCATGGGGACACCGGCATGGGGACACCCACCCTGCCAGGGGACACAGCCGCAGAGTCCCCCCGCTCCCACCCGGCCTTGGGGTCCCCGCACACTCGGGGGTTCCCCGTCCTGCCGGGGGGGGTCTGTGAGCACACCCACCCGTGAGGGTGTCCCTGTGTACCCACGCGCGTGTCCCCCACCCCTCGGCCCACCGGGATGCTCAGCCAGTGCCGGGGGGATGCTCAGCACCCCAAGAAAGGAGCGGGGGTCTGGCAGGGGTCAGGGGGTGCTGACTTGGGGGTGCTGCCCCCCTGCCCCCCCCGGGCCGGCTACGCCCTGGCAGGGTGACACGGGACAGCCGGACCCGCCTGTTCCTCTTCCCCGCAGCAGAGCGGCCGAGCGCAGGCGAGTGGGGCGGCTGCGGCTGGGAGGGGGAAGGGGGGCAGGAAATGCCCCGCTGGGACCCCCAGGAGCTGCCCAGCCCTGGGACAGCGGCAGCGGGGTGGGCGCTAGACTGGGCTGCACTGGTTTGCACTGGGAGGGGGGCGCGGTGGGAATGGGGGGTCCTGATTCCCGTTTCCCCCCAGGCTGCCGCCGCTGGGGAAGGACCATGGGGCTCCCCGCGGCCCCGCTCGTGCTGCTGCTGCTGCTGCTGCAGCCCATGAGCTCCCTGCTCCTCCTGTCCCCCTGTTTCCCTCTGCTGCTGGACATCTCCGAGGAGCTGGACCTGAGCAACAGGAGCAGCGGCTGCGCCGAGCTGGACTGGAGCCCGTTCCAGCGGCACCGCCGGCTGCTGCTGAGGCACAACGGCATCGAGGCCCTGAGCCCCTCGGCCCGCCTCGGGCCCGCCCTGGAGGAGCTGGACCTGGCGGAGAACCGGCTGCGGGAGCTGCCCCGCGGCTTCTTCAGCAACGCCACCGCGCTGCGGGAGCTGCGGCTGGAGGGGAACCCGCTCCGCGCCCTGCCCCGCGCCGCCTTCCAGCCCCAGCTCCGCTCCCTGTCCCTGTCCTGCCGCTGCGACCTGCTGGCCACCGTGGTGACCCTCTGTGCCCGCTCGGGGCTCCGCTGCCTGTGCTTCACACCGCCGCCCCAGCAGCATCCCTTCAACGCCACGGAGTTCCACGCGCGGCACTGCGGGCTCGGCGCGGGGCTGGTGGCCGCGGTGGCCGCGGCGGTGGCCGGGCTGGTGGCGCTGGCGGTGGTGGCCGCGCTTTGGTGGCGGCGGAGGAGAGCGGGGGCCGCGGTGGGCGGCGTGGGGAGGGGGAAGCAGAATCCCACCGGGAACCTGCGGCAGCCCCGCTACATCAGCCGCGACACCGGGAGCGGCCCCGCCGATGTCGCCGATGTCCCCGACTACGAGAACGTTTTCGTGAGTCCCGGCACGGCCCCGGGGGCTGCGCACGGGTGGGCACCGGCGTGGCGGGAGCCGCGCTACAGGTGAGGCTCCGGGCCAGGGATGGACGTGCCGGGAATGTTCCATCCCCTCCCTGCTGTGCTGTGCCCTGATGTGTCACCCTGCCCCATCCCGCCTGATTCCTCTCCATCCTGTGCTGAACCTGACATCCCATCCCATGGATCCCATCAATCCCATCCCATGGATCAATCCCATCCCATCCCATGGATCCCATCAATCCCATCCCATGGATCAATCCCATCCCATCCCATGGATCCCATCTCAGCCCATCCCATGGATCCCATCAATCCCATGGATCCGATCAATCCCATCCCCATCCCATCAATCCCATCAATCCCATAGATCCCATCCCATAGATCCCATCCCATAGATCCCATCCCATCCCATCCCATCCCATCCCATCCCATCCCATCCCATCCCATCCCATCCCATCCCATCCCATCCCATCCCATCCCATCCCATCCCATCCCATCCCATCCCATCCCATCCCATCCCATCCCATCCCATCCCCTGGATCCCACAAATCCCCACCCCGATTTCTCCTCCCCGTTCCCCAGCCCGCAGGTCCCTCTGGATGAGGATTATTTCCTGGAGAGCGCGGCCGATCCCGGGGCTCAGCCCATCTACGCCAACACGCTGGGCCCCACCGAGGACATCTACATCGTTCCTGCCCACTGAGGGGCTGGGGGCGCACGGGGGGGGCTGGGGGACCCTCTGTGTCCCCCTGCTGCCCTGTCCCCGTGCCCCAGCCCGGAGGGGACGGGGACATTCTCCATGCACATCCTGCGGGGACGCCTCTTGTGGGGGATTTTTGGGGCAGCCCCAGTTCCCCCCTCGCCCCGGGCTGAGCTGACATTTCCTGCGGGGCCGGGGCACGCGTGGGGTCCCGGGGGCGGCTGGAGCAGCTGGGGCTGAGCACGGCCGTGGTTTCCTCTTCCCCTTTTGGGGCCGTGGGGTGCGTGGGGTGCCGCTGGCCTGGGGACGTGCTGGCGGTTGGGGACATCCGGTGCCACCTGCTCGGGCTTTCCTGCTAAATCCGCCACTTCGGGTACAAACAAAAAGCTTTTCTTCAATCCTCCTGGTGGCACCGCCAGCTCTTGGGTTCCATGGGGACCCAGGGACCCCGTGGCTTGTCTGGGTGTCCCCTCAGTCCCTGAGAGGCTTCACTGTGCCCCATTAAATGGCTTAATTATCTCTAATTACCTGCATAGCCTGTGGTCTGTGGGCTGGGTTTTCCCTGGGGCTCCCTCCCAGAGTCTGTGTCCCCAACGTGGGGGTCCCGAGGGACCAGGACCCTCAGGGACAGGTCCCCAGAGTCTGTGTCCCCAAAGTGGGGGTCCCGAGGGACCAGGACCCTCAGAGACAGGTCCCCAGAACTCGTGTCCTCAAAGTGTTACAATCACTTTATTCATTATTATTACATCTTTCTGGTTTTATAGAAATATATAAAATAGAAAAACATTAAAACCCCTCCCTCTTCCCCCCCCCCCCAAAAGGATATTTTGCTATAAAATGCAATAAGTTAGAAATAAATAACTGGGTGCATAAATAAGTCTCTGAGACAGAAGAGGTTTGGAGTGGGATATGGACACCTGGGCACGGACCCACCCTGGCCCATGGGGGGTCTCTTGGGTGGGATGGATTTGCTTGCTCAATACAATATTTAAATTTTAAATTAGAGAAGAGACAGGGGGATAAGTTGTTTTTTGGGAGAGTTCACAACTGGAGATGCTGGGGCTGAGCTGGGGCAGAGCTGGAGACCCCAGGGCTGAGGGGCAGAGCAGAGGCAGGGCTGGTGAGGAGTCACTTGGTGCTGCAGGACCTGGATTTTGGGATGCTGATGTTGGACACCCCATGGCTGAGCTCACGTGGATCCAGAACTGGTGTGAAGTCACTTGGTGCCACAGGATCTTGGGATGCTGATGTTGGACACCCCATGGCTGAGCTCAGGTGGATCCAGGGCTGGTGTGAAATCACTTGGTGCCACAGGACCAGGATTTTGGGATGCTGGAGCTGGAGACTCCATGGCTGATCTCAGGTGGATCCAGGGCAGGTGAGGAGTCACTTGGTGCTGCAGGATCTGGATTTTGGGATGCTGATGTTGGACACCCCATGGCTGAGTTCAGGTGGATCCAGGGGTGGTGTGAAATCACTCTGTGCCACAGGATTTTGGGATGCTGGAGCTGGAGACCCCATGGCTGAGCTTGGTGGTGGGTCCATGGCTGGTGAGGAGTCACTTGGTGCCCCAGGACCTGGATTTTGGAGTCGGGATGGCTTTGCCCCGCCTGGCTGGTGCCACATCCCCGCTGGAGCCGCCAGCGCTGTGGTCAGGCACAGTGGCACCTGGTGACCAGCATGTCCTGGAAGAGGCTGGACACCAGCCTGCCCTCGCTGTCCAGGTGCATCAGCACCATGGGGTCGTAGCCTGCGGGGACGCAGCAGGGCGGAGGGGCGGCCTTGGACAGGGAGTGCACCCGGGACTGGATCTGGGCGTGCATGCTGGCCGGTTTGTAGTTGTGGGGGCAGGACCCCTCGCAGAACCGCATGTAGTAGCTGTGGGGGGCGATCACCCAGTCCGACCAGCCGATGTCCTGGAAGGAGACCTTCAGCGACTTCAGGCAGCACTTCCCATCGCTCTTCCCGCACTCCTCCTCCAGCCCCCGCGCTCTCCGGGATGCCCGGGCCGGTTTCTCCAGCGTTTCCACCTCCAGCACCGGCGTTTTCCCCGCGGAGGTGCCCAGGGCTGAGCTGGAGTCCAGCCGCAGGAGCAGGGTGGGCTCGGGCCCGGCCACCCAGAGCTGGAGCGCCCCGGTGAGGTCCAGGCTGCGGGAATCCCCCCGCAGCTCCCGGAGCCGCCGGAGCCGCCGCCTGCTGCCCTCAGCCCCCCGCGGGATGGAGATGCTGACCCGCGGTGGCTCCTCGGTGTCCTCGGGTGGCTGCTCGGAGAGTTTCAGCTCCGCCCGCACCACGCGGAGCTGCCGGTGGAAATCCGCGCTGCGGGACAGCAGGAGGTGGTAGCGGTAAGGACCGCGGGGCTCCCGGTGTCCCGGCGCGTCCCGGTGGCCTTGAGAGTCCCGCTGGCTCTCGGGGATGTCCAGCACTGCGGGGACAGAGGTGACAGCTGATGTAAGAGTCAGTAATTCCTCATCAGCCCGGCCTTGGGAGCGGCTCCGGCCCGGCAGCCTCGCCTCTGCTTCCAGGGAATCCCCCACGTCTTGAGGGATGCTGGAAATGCTTTGCTAAGCTCCGAGCCAGCATCTCCAGGGACCCCCAGGCTGGAGGCTCCCAGTTTTCCTGGTGCCAGGGAAGGCGTCCCAGGAGCCATTGGAGCACCCCCACCCAGCCCCCGACTGTCCCCACCCAGCCCAAGGGGGATTATTTCAATTATTGAATTCAAATTTTAATATGAATTCACTCATTTAAATATTTAAATCCCTCCCCCATGCAGATAAACCCCCAAACTGGGGATGGGGGATGGCACCTCCCTTCCTCCTCCCGCTCACCCCCAAATCCCTCGAGCCCCACTCCCCCCGAGCTGCCGCTGATCGAATCTTTCACCCCAACCCCCCCTGATTTTTGGGGGTTTTAAGCAAAACGGCTCCAGCTGCGGCTCCTCCCGACCTCCAGGGCAAAGGAAGGAGCGGGATGAGGGCGAGCGTGGCCACCGTGCCGCATGCCCGGTCATGTCCCCTGCAGCGCGGGGACATTCCCGAGGAAGGGACACGCAGCGACACACGCGTGTCCCGCGGGACGAGGCTCGGGGGGTGCCACGGAGCCACGGCCACTCACAGGTGGGGGTCAGGCGGTGCAGCCGCCGGGTCCTGCTCACGGCGTCCTCCTCTTCCTCCTCCTCCTCCTCCTCCTCCTCCCGGCTGCGGTTCCCCGCCAGCTCCGCCACTTTCTGCTGGTAGAGGCGCTGCGCTCTCTGGATGCTCTCCTGGTCCAGCGGGCGGCGGAGAACGGGGGGAGCCGGCATTCCCAGCCGCTCCAGGAGCTCCTTCTTGACGGCTTCCAGCTGCAGCCTGTCCTGCTGCCACGCGTGGGGCCGGGGATCCACGGCCGCGGGCAGCAGCAGGAGCTGCAGGCAGGTGAGGGCGGCCCCGAAGCCCCGCAGCGCCCCCGGCATCGCTCCCCTCGGCATCCCGCAGCAATCTCCACCGGCTCCGGGGCAGGATTCGCTCCCAGATTTTCTGCCCAGGCTGGACGTGCTGCTGCCGGCCGTGCTGCCAGGGGAATGAATGGAGAGGACCAGACCTGACTTTATAGGAGCCGAACTTTGCCCGCCCTCCGTCCCCCCTCCCGAGGGTGTCGCCGGAGAGAATTCCCAGCAGGAATCTCTCCTCTCCGCTGGGAGTTTCAACGGGAGCTCTGGTAGCGCTGGAGCCGGGTGATGTATATATAAAAAAAATATGGAATACTCCTTTTTGAGGCACAAACACTTCCCTTCTACCTCCCGTTTTCCCTTGGGGAATCCCCCTCACCTCCGGGGGTGATGGGGCGGGGATGATGTGCGAGGCGGGAGCGCTGCGGGCATCCCGAGCACGGATCTGCCATCCTCGCATCCTCAGCCGCCTCCTCCGCCCGTCACCTCGCGGCTCGGGTCTCTGTCACTCCACGGGCTGATCCCCCCTTCCCCAAATCCCGGCGGGCCGGGGAGGCCGCAGCTCCCGCGGGGTGCGCGGCCGGAGCGGGGGGGAGGATTTGCTCGGGATCCCGTCCCGGCGGGCCGGTGCTGCCGGGGGATGGGCTCACCCCGAGCCCGGATCGCTCCTTCTGAGGCAACCGTGGCCGGGGTTACGTCATCCCGAACGGGGCAGCCGGGACGGAGCCGGGCACGCCGGTGGCACGGGTCCAGCGGGGCCATGTGCGCCGGGCAGCGCCGTGCCAAGAGCGGGGCTGGGCAGGAGGAAACCCACGGTGGGAACGTGGACCCCCAGGGATGCAGCACCGACCCTCTCCCGGCTTCTCCTCAGGGATGCTCGGACCGAAAACACGCGAGCAGAGGGATGAGAAGGAGCAGGAAGGATTCGGGCAGGTCCCCCCGGGGCAGGCCAGGCCATTCCCGAATGTCCCGAAGTCGATCCAAGCGCCCGGGCTCCAGCTGGGCTCCCGCCGGGGACGGTAATCCCGGTAATCCCGGTAATGCCGTGATTTACGGCTCTTGGTCCCCGCTCCTCCGGGGCTCCAGCCTTGTCCCGGTTTTTCTCACCCACTTGCTCAAGGGGTTGCCCGAGGCAAAGCCGAGACAGAGTTTTCACCCCAAAACACGGGAAAGGAGAAGTTCGCCGGGATGCCCGGGGTGATGTGGAGGGGATTGCCCCGGCCCTGGGTCCGTCCTGGTGAGGAGGAGCAGGAATTCCCCCCAGGCCCCCTCCCCATTTCGCTGCTTTTCCCTTCCCACAGCATCCGCCTTGGAAGGAAATCCCACGTGTGGCTCACAGGGAAACCTCCGGTTTATCTCCAGGGCTTCATCCCACGCGGATTTGGGCACCACGGGTGGGACATCGCCCATCCCTCGGCAGCTGGGCAGGGATGAATTTCCTTCCTGGAGCACCTTCCCACCTGAATTCCCAGAGCCCCAAACCTGCTGTGATCCTCTCCCAGGGATTTTATCAATTTGAGGTGATTGCAACCCTCCAGCCCCCCAAATCCAGGGAAGAAAGGAGAGGGAGCATCACCCCAGGAGGACACAAGGGCAGAACCACCACGCCATTCCCTCCCCTCCGGACATCCCCATGTCCACATCAGGCACCAGCCCAGCCTGCAGCCCCCTCCAGCATCCCCAGAGTGCCAAACATGCTGATCCAGAGGCAAAACGGAGCCTTTGGCATGTCCGGGTGCAGGAAGAGGCCCCGACCTCTCCGGTGACATTGAGCAAGACCCGGCAGCAACCCCGAAATCCCAAAGTTCTGCTTTCGCAGTGGATTTTCTGCCAGCCCCGTGTCCAGGAGTGACTCACTCCAAGAGCATCAAAGGTTGTTGGAGCCGGATGTTGTCCCCCAAAGGCGCCAGCAGTGGAAGCCAGAGATTTACAGCCCAGCAAGGGCCATAAAAGAGGGATTTTGGGAGCAGTGGTTTGATCCTGAGCGAGAGATGATGAAACGTCCCAGCGTGTCCTCATCATCCTGCGAGGAGTGGTTGTGCAGCCTCTGCATCCCACGTTTCCTCGGCTCTTCCCGGACACGTTGAGCAGTGGCAGGTCGGGTTGATCCGTGCCTTTCCCCAGCAGGATGAAGGTTCCTCTCCAGTTCACACACCCCATGTGGGTCCCTCATCTCGGCACAGCTCTCCCAGCACGGATCTGGAGCAGGGAATTGCTGCTCCCAGGGGAGGAGAGGCTGGGATGGGCTGAGGGCGAGGAGGATCGAGCTCTGGCCAGTCCAGGAGAAGCTCCAGTTGTGCGCTGCTGAGCCTGGAAAGGTCTGGAAGTGCCCAAGGCCAGCTTGGATGGGGTTTGGAGCATCCTGGGACAGTGGAAGGTGTCCCTGGCCAAGGCAAGGGTGGGACTGGATGGGCTTTAAGGTCCCTTCCAACAAAATCATTCCGTGATTCCAAACAAATGATGCTTTTCCCTTCTCCAGATGCTGGTGGGGAACACGGTAAGGACACAGAGCAAGGGGCTCCAGAGGGCTTCAACTTCCCAAAACGCAGGAAATTCCCCGCAGCCGCCCGAACCGGCAGAAACTTTGGGGTTTTTTGTAGAGTTCCTTATCACAAGTGGCAAGAGGGGAAGCGCTATCAGTTCCTCACAGCTGTTGAGCAAAGGATCCCCAAAAAAGTGCTCAGAGACCTCTGGGGATTGGTGGCATCGCCACCTGGGACTGACAGAGCGGGATCAGGTCCTTCCCACATCCTGCAGGACCTCGGTGCTCCCCAGAACCACTCAGGCTGAGCAGGTTGGATGCTGTGGGGAGGATATTCCCTGGAAAAAGAGCAGCTGAGCAGGTTGGACGCTGTGGGGAGGATATTCCCTGGAAAAAGAGCAGCTCGGCTTTCCCGGGGTGTGTTTCCCAGCAAAGGATAAGCAGGGAAGCACACGAAGCTCCGAGCAGCCCGTGGGGCTCGGCTTCCAGGGAAGTTGGAGGCTCCAGGAATTATTTGGGATGAGAAAGCCCAGTGGGGTTTGCTCCATCTCATTTTGGGTCTGGAAAGGGGCACGGAGGGATGGGGGACGGGGCTCTCCCTCTGCTGCCGGCGTGGGATGTTTGGGCAGCCACATCCCGCCGTGGTGACGGATCAGCAGAGTGGGCGCTGAGGTGACCTTTGGATGTTTCCAAATCGAAGCCAACCACCACGGGTCAGGCAAGCAAAAAGCAGCTTTTGCCCCGGCACAGCAGGAATCGCATTTTTTTCTCCCTTTGCTGCGAGTTTACGGCATCTCCCAAAAACGAGACTTCTGCTCCACTTGGACAAAGACTTCCCTGCCCGGCTGCACCCGCGGTCAACGATTAACTCGGGTTCCCACCCCCCCCCCAGGCCGGGAAGGGCAGGAAATGCCTCTGGCCCGACCACCAAAAATGGAAATCTGCCTTGGGAGCTCCTCACTCACGCCACCATCACCTTCCTGGATCCTTCCCAAGGGGATTCTTTCCTGGATGGGCTCCCCAGATGGGGATTTCCAGGTAGGGGCTGTGCTCTGCCCAGGAGGATTTTCAGTTTACAGATGTGAAATGGAATCCCTTGAGAGCATCATTGGGGTTTGACTCCCTGACCCTTGTGGGTCCCTTCCAGTTTAGGATATCCAGGGTGAGGATGTTCAGGGAACAAGCTCAGCCTGGGCAGGATTGGTGCCGTGCTTGTTGAGAAGCAGCTTTAAAAAGCATCTCCCTGCTCAATCTCACCCTTCCAAAGTGCCAAAAGAGCCCTTTCCATCCATTTTTTGGTGCAGATCCAGGAGGAAATCCCAGGCCGAGGCTTTTGGGAGCGTGGTGATCTTTGGAATGGTGATGCTGAGCCCAGGGAGCCAGATCAGCTCAAATCCTTCCTCCAAAAAGTTTTCCAACACTGAGCAGGGGGGAAAAAAACAGATGGAAGGAACCAAATCCAACCTGGGCACATCCCAGAGCAGAATCTCTTTTACCAAGGAAACCTTTAGGACACACTGAAAGGGAAGGATAACCTAGAAAGTTCCTTAAAACTGTAGTGTGGATGTTTTAAATGCTGGCAAAAATAGCTGAAGGGAACCAAATCCAACCTGGGCACATCCCAGAGCAGCACCCTTTGTATCAAGAAGAGAAAGACAACCTCAAAACTGCCTTAAAACCCCAGGATTTTGAGAGCCTGGATGCTTTTTGAAGCACAAAGCGCAGTTTTGGACGAGGAACAAGCATGGAAGCTGCTGGAGAATTTGGGGAAGTCTCTGCCAGTCCGACCTCCAGGAGAAATAAATGTATTTATTTGCGAACCTGGACACAGATAAGGCTCCACGTGCCCATCAGCAGGGAATTAGTCAGCGGAGCGTGACTCGGGAAAGGGTTGTGTACACAGGAGCATCCAGGGCAGCAGCGGGGGAGAGGCAGCACCGAGGGCTGAGGGATTTTCCCCCAGGTTGGAGCCAGAACGGCCAAGGAAATCCCACCTGCAGCAGAGAACATCCACCTGCACCTCCTGGATCAGGTGAGGAGCCTTGGAATGGGGAATTTCTCAGCCAGAGCATCACCCCTGGCACGGGGAGCTCATCCTGGGTCGGCTTCTCAAGGCTGTTTATTTTCCTTTATCTAGAACATTCTTCCTCTGCCCTGCTGAGCTCTGGCCAGCAGCTTGGCCATGGCATTCTGCCTGCCCTCTAGGGCATTTTATACTAAAATTGACACATTTTATACTAAAATTTACACACTTTATTTACACATTGCATACTAAAATTTACACACTTTATTTACATATTGTATACTAAAATTTACACACTTTATTTACACATTGTATACTGAATTGCCCAGGTGTCCTGGATCAATCCGGAATTTTCCAATTTTGCACTTTCTTGGATCAAGCTGGAATTTTCCAGCTTTGCACCCTCCTGGATCCATCTGGAATTTTCCAATTTTGCACCTTTTTGGACCAATCTGGAATGTTCCAGCTTTGCAGCTCCTGGACCGAGGTGGAGCTGCCCAGATGTCCCGGACCAAGCTGGAGTGACCCCGTGTTGCCGCTCGGGCTGTCCTGGATCGCTCCGGCTCCTGCATCTCCCACACCCTCCCCATTCCCGGCTCCAACCGCAGCTCTGGAGCTCTTGGACCCTCCCCGGTGCCGGACCCAGGGGTGGCACCCTCGGCTGTCCCCGGGGCTGGCAGCACCATCTGGTGGCACCGGCCCTGCCAGCCCAGTCTGGACCAGTCTGGACCAGTCTGGACCAGTGGCACAGGACAGAGAGAGGCCCTCAGGCTGCCAGCACAGAGTTTCCAGCCCTGGAGGGGCAAAGGTGTGCATGTGGCACTTGGGGACATAATTTAGGGATAAAGGTGTGGACATGGCACTTGGGGACACAATTTAGGGGTAAAGGTGTGCATGTGGCACTTGGGGACACCATTTAGGCATAAAAGTGTGGATGTGGCACTTGGGGACGCAATTTAGGGATAGAAGTGTGGATGTGGCACTTGGGGACACAATTTAGGGATAAAAGTGTGAATGTGGCACTTGGGGACACAATTTAGGGGTAAAGGTGTGGATGTGGCACTTGGGGACACAATTTAGGGACAAAAGTGTGGATGTGGCACTTGGGGACGCAATTTAGGGGTAAAGGTGTGCATGTGACACTTGGGGACATAATTTAGGGATAGAAGTCTGGATGTGGCACTTGGGGATGCAATTTGGGGATAAAAGTGTGCATGTGGCACTTGGGGACATAATTTAGGGATAAAAGAGTGGATGTGGCACTTCGGGACGTAATTTAGGGATAAAAGTGTGGATGTGGCACTTGGTGACACCATTTAGGGTGGACAGGGCACTGCTGGGGGAACAGGCTTGTACCAACCACCACCTTGAAACCCAAGGAAAGGCTGAGAGGACACTGGGAGTCAGAGTTAAACTCTTTATTTCCTTTAAACAGCGGTTCACATCCTCAGGTACAAAGTCCAGTCTGGCAGTACGAGCTGGGAGCGCGTCGCTGGTCCCCGACCCCACAGCCCCTCTGGGATTGTTGGGATTTACAAGGCACTGCAAGAACACACAGACAACAGGAACCCCAAGGGGGTGGCACTGGTGCTCCAAGAGTCCTGACAAGCACGAGGTGACACCTGAGATGGTCACACAGACACCGGGTGGCTTCACAAGGGACACACGGAGGACCCGAGGGCCGGGAAAGGGTCAGGACAAAACCTCACTCCAAGAGGAGCCAGAAAAACCATCAGGAATTGGGTTAACCCAACCAAAAGTGAGAATGGAACAACAAAACCCTCAGGAATTGGGTTAACCCAACCAAAAGTGAGAATGGAACAGCAAAACCCTCAGGAATTGGGTTAACCCAACCCAAAGTGAGGATGGAACAACAAAACCCTCAGGAATTGGGTTAACCCAACTCAAAGTGAGGATGGAACAACAAAACCCTCAGGAATTGGGTTAACCCAACCAAAAGTGAGAATGGAACAGCAAAACTCTCAGGAATTGGGTTAATCCAACCAAAAGTGGGAATGGAACAACAAAACCCTCAGGAATTGGGTTAACCCAACCCAAAGTGAGGTCGGCAGAGCAGATTCTGTTGTGCCTCGGGCAGGTCCCCGTGTGTGTGTGTGTGTGTGTGTGTGTGTGTGTGTGTGTGTGTGTGAGCACACCTGGGGAACTCGGTGCACTCTCTGAGGAGCACCCACGGACAATCATGGGGATTCCCACCAATTCAGGGGTTTCCAGCCCAATTTTTCCACCCGCACACGGGGCAAACCCATCCCCATCACCACCACTCTGCCTCCCAAACGTGAGCCCAGAACAGGACAAGGCACTCCCTGATCATCAAAGTAAACATTTGTGATTTAAGAGGCTGGTGCAATCGGAAAGCTGAAGGTGGATTTTGAAGTACCGCGGAGTTTTCTGTAAGGGCAGTGATAGTTTCATTTCCCATCATCAATTCCTATCTGTGGGGAGGCATTTCCTTCCCTACTTCGTCTTAAAATAGACTGAGCAGAAGCAGGTCCCAGGTTTCAATGAACACCTCGAAGAATTAACAACGCCCTCAGCTCTGGAGTTTTGGCAGAATTTCCCTTTCAGCACATAAGACACTCATCAGACAGGAATACATTTTTTTTATGAAAAAGTGCACTTTATACTGCAAAAAAATTAGGGATTCTGGTGCAAAAATAAGGAATTCATCTAGATCAAGATGAGTATTTATGGTATCAACAAGGGGGGGGGGGGTTCGCCAAGTCAATAAATTTAGAAAGAGCCTTTGCAACTCTGAAATTCCTATTGTTAAAATAAAATTAAATTGTTAAAATATTATTGATAAAGGATTAAAGTAAAAGGGGGTAAGAGGGAGGAAGTTACTTTGGGAAAGGATCTGTACAAACTCATTGCCGACAATTTCCTCTGCGCTGTGGGGTGAAATCTGAAAATCGGAATGAAAAAAGAAAAGCCCCACAAAAAAAGAATACTTTTTATGCCTAAAGTTCCTGATTTTCACTCGGATTTCAGACACCACCACTCCCTCCTGCAGCAGCTCCGAGTCTGAGAGTGAGAAATCCAAGAGAAATTAAAAGGTTCAGGAGTCACAAGGAATTAACCCACAACCCCCCGTGGCCAGACCATCATCGCTGCTGCAGCTCCTGTGGGATTCACCAAATTCCCTCCTCTCCAGCCTTTGCCCAGTTTTGGTTTAAAGAACCTCCTCGTCCTGCTGCAATTCCTAAAAAAAAAAAAAATCCCTAAAAAAAATAAAAATCCACCCAGCAGGGCAAGGAACAGAGAAGCCCAGGATGGTTTGGGTTGGAAGGGACCCTAAAGATCACCCAGCTCCAACTCAGCTCCAGGTTATTTGAGCATCAGAAGAAATTCTGTGGATTTTAAACATTTTTTTAGACTTTCTTATCAAAACCAGCCACACTGGGAGCCTGTGCAGGCTCGGAATCTCCTGGGGTTTTATTCCAGCAGCCTGGAATAATCCCCTTTTCCAGCTGCTGAGGCACTGGAAGGTTCAATATTGCCTCTTTTGGGACACTGGGGGGGTTGGATGCTACATCTACACCTGGCCCCAGGTGAGTTCAGCCACAATCCAACTTTTCCCAGGGGCTTTTCCACACCCCAAATCCCATGGAGGTGAAAATTCCCACATCCCTGGCTCAAGGAACGTTCTCCTGCCGTGGGCATCACCATCCCCACGGCTCCACAGATCCCAAATTTATATATATTTTTTTTTTTTAATTTTTTTTTTTTTAGGATGTCTGAAAGCCTTCAGGGAAACAACTCTGGGAGCTCAGCAGCTCCTGGCTGCAGCCTCGTGTCACAACCACACCTCAAACCCTCTTCCTGACCTTCCCATCCCTTCCAACTCCTCGGGAGCCTGGGGGATGCTGCAGGGGAGGTGAACTGCTCTGCAGGAGCTGGAAAACTCACCCCAAAAACCCCCAAAAACCCCCAAAAATCCTCCAACCACACCACAGAAACCCTCAGGCTGGGAGGGATCCCTAAGGATCACCAAATCCCACAGGAATCCTTGAGGCCAAGAGCCTCCCGAGCTCCTTTTTCCTGGGGTTTTAGAGGAGATTCCCAATTTAATTCCCAATTTAATTCCCAATTGAATTCACCTCCCCACAGCAGCATCACCAAACCGAGACATTGCTGAGTCTCTGGAGCTCCTCCAAAATCCTCTGCAGGATTTAAACAATCCTGGGACAATGAAATTGTCACCCCGCTGCTCCAGGCAGATAAATGACACCAGACCCAATCCAGCAGAACCTCCCTAAATCCTCTCTTCCACACCCAAAATCCTCAGCCACGTTTCCCCCCTGAGCCTTTATCCCCAGAGAGGATTTTGTACCTAAAATTTCAGATTTTTTTTTGTATATTTTTCCCACATTACAGGCACGGGAATGAACATTCCACCTGAACTTCCTACGCTTTTATTCACCAGCACAAAGTTTTTGGGCTTGGCAACAGGTCTCCCAGTCAGTGCAAATTAGCAAATTCTATTAATTGATGATTAATAGAAAGGAAAACAAACAGGATTTAGCAAAACATCAGCTTTGTTTTGCATCAGTTTGATGTCCTATTCCCAAAGAAAATAGGGATCTATGAGAAAAGATTCGTGAATTGAACTAAAAAAAAAAAAAAAACAACTTAAAAAAAACCCCAAAACAGCCCCAAAATATTTAATTTAGGTCATATTAAATAAAATTAGTTTAATGCCATTTTTTCCCAGTAGGGCTACAGGAAATTTCTCTACCACCAAGACACCTTTTATAAACACAACCTCAGGCTAATTTCCCAAACTCCCCAGTTAAAAAAAAAAAAAAAAAAAAAAGAGTATAAAATAAATTAGATTTTCTAAGGAACTGATCACGTGGAGCTTCCCCCAAAACAGACCGAGAGGAAAAGCAACGCCCAAAATATTCCCAAAAAAATGGGATTTTTAATGCTGACCCACCCAAGGCCAAGCACTGCAGGCCTCAAACTCCAGCAGGCACGGAAGTGGCTCTGGATTTCTGGATTTTCCCTTGGAACAGCAGAGAGCAGCCAGAAAAAAATGAATATTTTTAGGTGCTGAACAGGATTTAACTCGCCAGGCTGAACAAACCCACGTGGGAAGATGCTCTGCCCACGGAACTGCTGCTGTCTGTGCTGCCTGGGGATGGATCCTGGGGCACCAAAATGCCCAGGGGCATCTCCAGTCCCACCCGGGGCACCTCCAGCCCCACCTGGGGCACTTCCAATCCCACCTGGGGCACCTCCAGCATCACCCAGGGCACCTCCAGCCTCACCAGGGGCACCTCCAGAACCACCAGGGCACCTCCAGCCCCACCAGGGGCACCTCCAGCCCCACCTGGGGCACCTCCAGCCCCACCAGGGGCACCTCCAGCCCCAAAAACCAAAACCGTGTCAAAGCGCAAAGATTTCAACAAGAAGATTTCAACAAAATATTAAATAAAATAAATTACTAATCAGGGAATCTGACAAGTGCTACCTCGGCGTCGATGGCAATGACAATATTTCACTTGAGGGCAAATTCCTCTGAGCAGGAAGGCCTGGATAGGGAAGAGAGAAGGAATTTCCTTCCAAAAAAACCCTCCTGCTCAGGTGCCCTCAGCAGAGCCCCTGCAGCTGCAGAGTTTTGTCCCCAGACTCCTCCTGGCGAGCTCAGGGCAGCTCTCACTGAGAGTTACTACAGCAGAGCCAGCCAGCACCACAGAAATCCAAACTCATGGGCTTTAAAACCTTTAAAATGTTGGGTTTTTTATATATTTATATATATATTTCTATCTTATCTGTAAAAGCATCACAGACTCCTTCACCCAAACGGCCTCTCCACGAGACCTCAGCTCCCAGTTCTGTGTCTGCTCCAACCTCAGCTGGGATTTTGGTTTTTTTTGCTGCAGCCTCAAAACCCGGCAGCAAATCTCCACACAGCACCAGCACCACCCACCTGCTGAGATCCTGCTCCAACCCTTCCCCAAAAGAATTCCTGGGGAATTCCTTTGAGCTGAACCACTTCTGAACACCAGGAAAGAGCCTGGAATCCTCCCCCCGAGCAAAATTCCTTAATTTCAAATCACTGCCCCTGGTTCCCGGGCAGTGGGATGGGGTTGAAGCCCCGACATTTGATTTTGCAGGGATTTTGTAGGTTATTCCCATCTGCATTTTTATGCCTGCACTCGAGCCAGGGTGGAATTGGGATCTCAGTTAAACATTACTCTCCTCACCTGGAACACGAGGGGGAATTTGCAGCTAAGGAAGTTATAAATTACTCAACCTTCACCTTAAAAACGCCATGGAGCACCAGGAGCCCGGGATAAAGATCTCCAGTGGGAAAAGTGGCCCTCAGCAAAGCTCTTTACCCACTTTATTCACTAATACTTGGTTTTAGAGACATTGAACTGAGTGTTTGCTACAGGAGGTCCTTGAGGAAGGGATGTGGCCGAGAGAGAGGCAGGAAAAAGAGATTTGGAAAGATTTAGGATCAGGCTCCCCCCACAAAAAAAAAAAGAAAATAAAAAAAAAATCCATCTGGATTTGGGTTCCAAAAGGAACCCCAAACATCCCTTCTGCTGCAGCTAGAGACTCCATGAAATCTGGAGGAGGTGGAGTGAGGAATTGGTGCCTAAAAACCATTTTCCATTCCATCCAAGCCATTCCAGGCTCCTCATTCCCACCAAGCTCTGCTGTCCCAGCCACGCCAGCACCATCCCAGCTCCAGCTCTGCTTCCACATCACCAGCACCTGCAGTTTGGGCCGAGAGAGGGGGGAAACAATCCCAAAACCAACTGAAAGCAAACCTTTCCACCCAAGAATCAGCCAGCAGAGGGTTGGTGAGCAATTCCCTGCCCCTGAAGGTGGAGTCCAGGTGAGGAACCTCCCACAGGTCTGGGTGAGGACCCATTCCCTGGAAGCTCCAGCACAAACCCTTCAGGAATCAGGAGAAACCCTTCAGGAATCAGGAGAAACCCTTCAGGAATCGGGAGAAAACCTTCAGGAATGAGGAGAAAACCTTCAGGAATCAGAAGCTGCAGCTGCTTGTGAGAAGAGACTCTGAATCCTTTGTTGCTCAGGCTGAAACTCACAGATTCGACAAAAAAAAAAAAAAAAAAGTTACTTTCTAAGCAGAATTTGTAGAATTTTCCTTTTTTCTTTTTTTTGGATTTTTTTTTTTTTTTGAAGTCTCCAATTCTGGGTCCGGAACTGTTGTTTGTTTTTTTGTCTGTTTGTTTTGTTTTTTCTTCTCCCCAATACTTCAGCAGAGCAGGGGAAAATTTTGGAAGTGCAATACTAGGAGAGCTCCTGGGCGGGCTCAGTGTTCATGCTGACAGTTGATTTTGTCTTCGGAATGCTCCAAAAGATCCAGCATTTCCTCTATGATGGCCTGCAGGGCCCGGCCCAGCTGTTCTGCAGAATAAGGTTTTCCCAGAGGAGGCACGTGGACAAACGCCGACCTCCCCCTGCTCTGGTACAAGGAGGTGTAGTAGGTGAAGTCACAGAGGTACCTGGAACACAAAAGCAGAGATTATTCCATGAAAAAAAAAAAAAAAAAGGGATAAAAACAAATAAAACAAACTGCAGGCTCAGCATGGTGGGGCATCCTGGGGTTTAGGGGGATGTGAGGCAGGAATTGTGAGTCTGGGGTTGTTTTAATTCAATTTAGGACAAAACAATGTGGAAAATCTCTCTTTTTTTTTTGAAACCAGGTGGCACCGCCAGCCCGGGGAAGTGAAAGGTGTGGGAGGCTTCGGTGCCACGTGGATGTGGCACTTGGGGACGTGTGGTGGCCTGGGCAGGGCTGGGGGGTGGTGGCACCCCGTGAGCTGAGAGGGCTTTTCCAGCCTCAGGGGCTCCAGGGGAAGTGTCTGGATTGTGGGGGAACAAAGGAGTGACACTGCCACGGGAGGTTGTGGCTGTCCCTGCATCCCTGGAAGCGTTCCAGGACAGCCTGGATGGGGCTTGGAGCAGCCTGGGACAGTGGGATGGGATGGGATATGGGATGGGATATGGGATGGGATATGGGATGGGATATGGGATGGGATATGGGATGGGATATGGGATGGGATATGGGATGGGGTGGGACTGAAGGTCCTTCCAAGCACTCTGGGAGTCCCTGGTTCCATGAACGAGGTGACACCATGGTGTGAAGGTGTCACCAGCAGATCCCTGAGGGATCCAGGAGAGCTGGAGAGGGACTGGGGACGACGGATGAAGGGACGGGACGCGGGGATGGGGGGATATTGGGAAGGGATCGTTCCCTGTGGGGATTCCAGGCCAGGCTGGAGGAGGGAAGCTCCAGGGACACCTTGGAGCCACTTCCAGAGCCTCGAGGGGCTCCAGGAGAGCTGGAGAGGGATCTGGGACAAGGGCTGGAATCCCAGCACAGGGAACGGCTTCAAGGCGTAAAGGGGATATTGGGAAGGAATATCCCACCCTGCTGGCTGGGATGGAACTCCCAGAGAAGCTGTGACCATCCCTGGAAGTGCCCAAGGGGGTCTGGAGCACCCTGGGACAGTGGGAGGTGTCCCTGCCATGGATGGGGTGGGGTGGGGTGGGATGGGATGGGATGGGATGGGATGGGATGGGAATGGAATGGGAATGGAATGGGAATGGAATGGGAATGGAATGGGAATGGAATGGGATGGGAATGGGATGGGAATGGGATGGGGTGGGACGGGGTGGGACGGGGTGGGACGGGGTGGGACGGGGTGGGACGGGGTGGGATGGGGTGGGATGGGGTGGGGATGGGGTGGGGATGGGGATGGGATGGGGTGGGGTGGGATTTAAGGTCCTTCCAAGCACTCTGGGAGTCCCTGGTTCCATGAGCAAGGTGACACCATGGTGTGAAGATGTCACCAGGAGAGCTGGAGAGGGATTTGGGACAAGGGCTGGAATCCCAGCACAGGGAATGTCTTCAAAGTGGAAAGGGGAATCCGGGTGGGATATGGGAAGGAATATCCCACCCTCCTGGCCGGGAGGGGCTGGGATGGAATTCCCAACCAGCTGTGAGCGCCCCTGGACGTGCCCAAGGCCAGGTTGAAGACTGGGACACAAGCTGAAAACCTTTGAGGTGCCTCCCACGCCGAGGCACCGCCGGGTGCCCTGTGCCCGGGGCTCAGCCCCCACCTGCCGGCGTCCTTGGAGATGGTGACGGTGACGTCCAGCCCCAGCGCCGACACCCTGCGGCACACGGCGTCCATGTCGATGATGGAGTCGATGCACTCGGGGCCGCCCTCCACGCAGCACTGCGAGCCCGGGCAGAAGCGGCAGTTGTCCAGCCCCTTGTAGCCCACGTTGTGGCCACACTTCTCCAGGGTGACCGTGGTGGCCATGCCCGACACGCCCACGTGAACCACCAGCTGCCAGGGAGAGCCACAGCAAAAGGGTGTTAAAATCATGGGGATTTGGGGTTGCAAGGAAAATTAAGCTTAGGAGGCCCTGGAAAGAAAATAAATACCCTAAGTACATGTTGGAACTCAAAATGTCCCTCAGAGATTTTTGGAGGTTCCAGGCCCAGGTCAGAAGCATTTTAGACCCTGGCAGGCAGCTGGAAACAGCTGGGATTTTGAGTTTGAGCCATGGAACGAGTTACCAACTTTGAAGGTGGAACAAGCAGCCACAGCCCGAGGCTGCACTCGATCATCTCTGAGCATTTTCCAGCCTGAATGATTCTGTGGTGTGATTCCAAGGCCCTCCCCACCCCAAACCACTCTGGGGTTCCGTGGTTCTGCTGCCGGTGAAGAGGAACGAGGCGCTCCCATCTTCTCATCCCACCCCCTCCCGACCCAAACCGTGATTTCAGCAGGGTGGAAAAGGAGCCTTGGCACCTCCAGAGCTGCTGGAGGAGCCCAGGTGGCACAGACAAACCAGGAGCTGTCTAGACAGCCCTCTGCTGCGGCCCCTTCACACCCACTGCTCCCGGGAGCCGGAGCTGTAAAACCCCCCCAGCTCACACCTCCTCACGCTGAGGAGGAGAAGATCCAGCCAGGGACTGCCAGGCTGGAGGAACACGTGAAAAAGGAGATTCACACGGTGCCCACTGCAGGTCCCAACCCTTTGCTGGGTGATTTTTTTCCTCCTCCCTTTACTCACTCACTTGGGGACTGTGCTTCTTCCACAAGGCAGGAATGAGTCTCTGCACGGTCTGGTACTCAACAGGGACCTCGTAGACGTGCAAATCCACGTCATCCCTCAGCCCCAGCTTCTCCAGCTCCTAAAAAACACCAGCAAAGCAAAACCAGGATGGTCAGACACAAGATGAGCAGAGGATTTACTCCTGGAAGGTTTCATGGCACAGTGAGGGGCTACCACCAGTTTACACCAGGTTGTATAAGCTCGTAAACAGCACCTGCAGCGAGTTTACAGCAACCAGTGCAAAAAAACCCAGACCCCCGAGGGCAGCAACAAAGGCATCTCTCCACCTGTGAGAAGGGTTTCACCCACAGAACCGTTTGTGTGCGTAACAAAGAAATCAACATTTAACTGACAATACTCATCAGCAGCCCCCACACTCCCAAGGAAATCGTGGCTCTGGTATTTATAGAGGGATGGAGTCACAATCCCTGCTCCTCCCAAGGAGTGGCAATGTGGAGAAGGTGGGACTGGAAGGATAGTGAAATCCTTCCAGGCCTGGTGAAAATAAATGTCATATTTACTTCCAGATAAAGAGCTCTCAGGGCTGGGTGACAGCACTGGTGATTCAACTAACCCAGTAAATTATTTCTTCCTCTCCAGCATGAAAACATCCCAAATATCCTGGCAATAAACGGAGCCAATTGCCTTCAAACCTTTCAAAACACAAAGTGGCAGTTAAATACCTTGCAAAGACTTTAAAACCAGAGGAGAGGTTTATTTTTCTCCCCAGTGTTTCTGACTGGAAAACACTGTTTGATCCCAAAACTGGGAGTTCCCCTGCTCACAGGTTCCGCCTTGCTCTCCCCAGTCCCACCAGTAAGGCTCCAGCTGGAGCTTTGCTCCTGTGGTACCTCTCAGAGGCATCAACCCCAAATTCCCAGAACTCAAGGAAACACCCACGTGGCCTGAAGCCTGTGGAAAAAAGAGTTTTTAAACAAAACCATCAGCTGAGCCTAAACCTTGGAGCCATTTCCCAGTGGGAGAAGAGACCTTGGCCACCGTGTTCAAGGAATTCCTGCAGCATCCAACCCGGACCGAGCTTTCCCCTTGTCACCAAACATCCAAAATAGCTGTTCCCACAGAGCTGAGGTAGGAACAGCCATCAAACCATCTCAGGACATTTCAAAATATTCCTGAATTTATCTCTGCTCCAGGTCTGGGTTGGGGGACCAGAGCCACGAGCTGCTCTTTGAAGCAATTCTCAGGTTTTATTCTCCTCCTTGCAAGTGCAGACCAGCTGTTTGCACTCCCCAACCTTGTATTCCCCCAGGTTAAAAATTAAAAATTAAAGGCACTTAAAAGGAGAAGACAAGTCGAGGTTTGAGGCCTCCCCCATTTAAACGTGAGCAGCGTCCTGCCATTGTTTTTCTGTGTTTTTATCAGCTCGAGTGGTGCTCTGCTGAGGAAAGAAACACCTTTCACACTTGTACAGCCAAACCACAGGGATGTAAGGAGGCTGGAGAGAACTGAACCACCCAGAAAGGCCAAAGTGACACTTGCAGAGAGCAGCAGATATGAGCAACGATGATAAATCACTGGCTCTGGCTCCCAGGGCAGGGCTGATATTAAAGCCTGGCTGTATTGATTAGTGTCTGGCACACTCAGCCCTTCATTAGCAGGGATGGATGGAAGGGATGGATGGAAGGGATGGCTCAGCACAGCTCCTCTGCACAGATCTGCCCCCAAAACCTCACCTGGAGCCTTCACAAAGCCAAGGAGCTCACAGAGGAGAGTGGTCAAACACCAGCCAGACTCTCCAGCAGGAGAATATTCACTTTGAGAGTGTTAACAGGGATGAGAAGTGATGCTCCTGAAGGTGAAGGGTTGGGAAGGAAACAGCTCCTGGGGATGGATTTGGTGGGGAGATTGGGAAGGAAACAGCTCCTGGGGATGGATTTGATGGGAGGATTGGGAAGGAAACAGTTCCTGGGGATGGATTTGATGGGGAGATTTGGAAAGAAACAGCTCCTGGGGAAGGATTTGATGGGGGCATTGGGAAGGAAACAATTCCTGGGGAAGGAAACAGCTCCTGGAGATGGATTTGATGGTGGCAAGTTTTGCTGGACAAAAAGAGAATCCTCCACCCACCTAAACCTTAACTTTACCAAGCCACAACTTTTCTTTTAACCAAGCCCAGCGCTCCAAAATGAAGATGTTTGTAACCTTCCCCCCCCCTCCCTGAACAACTTCCCCCCCCTCCCCAGCCCTGTCCACCTGACAACCAGAGCACGCAGAACATGTGTGACCGATTCCCTGACCCCTCCACAATGCTGCTCTTTGTCAGCCTCTAATATCCTTATCAGGTCTGTCTAGACACCCTGACAGCAATTGTCCTTCCTAATGTCAAAATGCACCCTGACCTCTCTCCTCCTCCTCCTCCTCCTCCTCCTCCTCCACAGCCAGAAGCACTTTGGGGGGGATGAAGGAGCCCAGCAGCTTCACAGTCCACAGGTCACACCTGTGCCCACACCTAAGTCACAGCAGGGAGGGCAGAAAAGGGGCTGAGAAAAGCTCATTTTAGTGATTTCTTCTTGGAAATCCTTCCCCGGCAAAAGTTGCACACATGGAGGGAAAAAAAAAAAAAAAATCCTCAACCGAAACATTAAAATGGTGAAAACTCAAACCAGCAAATCCAAATTAACATGGAGTGTTTTTACCTTAAAATAAGGCAGAAAGGAGTTTTTCTTCCTGCTGATTTTATAGGAAAGCTCTCTTCTGTGAGTAAACCCCCCTCCCCAAAAAAAAACCAAAAAAAAAAACCCAGTGAAATGTTTGAGTTGAAATGTTGAAACTTTTCATTTCTACAGCATTATTAGATTGCTGCTGCCACTGTTTAAGGTAGCCATGTGTAAAAATCAGTCAGCTTGCAAAACCAGACAGAAATTCACTGCACTTCCAGGGAAAACTCACACCGTGTCCACGTCCTGCGGGAGAACCCAAATAAAACCAGGGGCAGAAAGAAAGAAAGAAAACGAAGTGAATTTTATCCTCGGGGATGCAGCATAATAAAAGACGTAATAAACCAGAACCAGCTCAGCTCCTAGAGCTAGGAAGGATTTAGAAAGATTGTTTAATTGATTTTTCTGCTATTAAGATGCAGATCACAGCGTCTGGGATTCGGGAGCTCAGACACGCCTTTGTGTCCACTCCGCTCCGTGAAGTCCCCGTCTGAAACCCGCACAATGCCCACCTCGGCCAGCCTCAAAGACATGCTGTTCCTTTTTGTCTGGGCCTCTCGGGGCTGAGACAGGGGAAGGAAAGGCAAATCCTCCCCGCTGCCTCCGAGCTGATGTTTTCAGTCACAATAATCCGCCGGCCATGGGACGGGACCGGAGCCTCTGGCGTGGCCGAGGTTTGTACTCAAAATATCACCAGCACTGAGTTTGGACACTCAAAACATCACCAGCACTGAGTTTGGACACTCAAAACATCACCAACACTGAGTTTGGACACTCAAAACGTCCCCAGTTCCGAGTTTGGCCATTCAAAATATTCCACATTCTGAGTTTGGAGACTCAGAACATCTCCTATTCTGAGTTTGGATACTCAAAACATCACCAGTTCTGAGTTTGGACACTCAAAGCATCCCAAATTCTGAGTTTAGCCGCTCAAAACATCCCAAATTCTGAGTCTGGACACTCAAAACATCCCCAGTTCTGAGTTTAGCTATTCAAAACATCTCCAGTTCTGAGTTTGGACACTCAAAACATCCCAAATTCTGAGTTTCGACACTCAAAGCATCCCAAATTCTGAGTTTGGACACTCAAAACATCCCCAGTTCTGAGGTTAGGGACTCAAAACACCCCCAGCTCTGAATTTATCCACCCAAAACATCCCCAATTCTGAGTTTTGTCATCCCCCAAGCCCCTAAGAACAGATTTTAAATGGAGGGGATGACTTCATCCACCAGCCACACAGCTGAGCAGCCACCAGTGCCTCGAGCACTCTTCAGGTTTGCTGATTTTTTTCAAGCAACATCACAACACCCACCACTCCTCCTGCTCCAAAAACACCCTTTTGTCTGTCTCCTCCAAAATAAAAGCAGCTATTTACAACAGCTCCACCAGCAAGAACAAACCAAAGCAGTGAGCCTCACTTCTGATTTTTAGCAGTCCTGTGTTTTTTTTCCCCCATCCACAACCTGCATATTCCTCCAAACTGACCCAAACTTAAATATATCCATTCCCAAAGAGCTCTTGGAGGCAAAGGTTTTGTCTTCCCCCACCAGCCAACACATTAGGCAGCTGGACATTAGTTGGCTGTAATTGATTAGGGTTTGTGATTTAATTTAAAAGCATTCGAAAGAAGAAATTAATCTCAGAGCTCTGAAGGGGAGAGAGACGTGGTGGGGAGAAAAATAGATTTAATTCCCTGGGCAACTGTACTAAAAGGCACCAAAGAATTCCCAGTAGCTTTGCCACAAACTCCATCCAGAAGTGACAAAGAAGGAAGAAGTGGGATAATGTGGCAGCACCATCCCTGTAAAAAGTGCTTTTACAGCAAAAAAACCACCTTAATTCCATCAAAAATAACTTAATTCCTTCTTCTTGCCTCATCTGTGGGACGTCAGCCTCGCTCAGATGAACTCCTGGGCACAGGGTGGGGTTTTTGGGGTGCCCTGTGCATGGCCAGGAGCTGCACTGGATGATTCCCTTCCAGGATATTCCAGGATTTTAGGGATGTGCCCAGGCAGACACAGAGCTACAAGTGGCATAAAGCTGATTTTCCTGAGCAAGGCAGGAAAAGCATTTCCCCAGATATTTTTGGGGTGATCTTTGGGAGCAAAGAGGCAGCTCTGCCCCGAATCAGACTCCTGATGCTCACACAACCCCGGGAAACCTCCAGCTGGAAGTCTCCTCTCAGGGATGAGGCTGGGTTTAAAGGTGAACCAGCTGGCCCAGCTTCAAGTCAGAACTGAGAGAAAAACATCCAGATTCCCCTGGGCTGCTCAGTTGGTTTGTTTATTTGGAATTCTCCAGGGCAGGGGAAGATTCCAAGCTCCCTGCCCCGTTTAAAAGCATCCAAAGCTGGGAATTCCTTCCTTGCCTCAGCCACATTAACTCAATCTCATTAAACTCCACCAGCTAAGGGATTGTTTTCCGAGCAGGGAATCAAACATTATCCAGTTGACCATCTGGATATCTGCAGAGTGCTCCAGAAGAAGTTGTAAGTGATAAAAAGGGCTGAAACCCCAAATTTGTAGGGATTTGTCCTCTGTTTTGACACCTCCTAAGAGGAAAATTCAGGGGTTACCTGAACTGCAATCCAGCTGGCGTTCACAGCGTGTTCTCCAAACGGCCCAAACCCTGCAAGAGAAGAAAAATTCACTGATTTGACTCCACTGGAAGTTGCAAATAGGTTTGGGCTTTCCTGGTTTAGTTCTCCAAAAAAAAAAAAAAACAAAAAAAACCACCCCAAAACCAAAAACCAACCGCATTTCTACCCCTCAGTCCTTATTTCTTTACACCTGAGCATCAAACAAGACACCTGCACTGAAATATTTCAACTACAGCCTTGTACAGTGAAGGAAAACAATAACTTGCTTGAAAATAAACTTGTTTTTTTTTCTTGGGGAGAAGAATTTTCCTTCCTGCCAGGTTAGAAAAATTCGTTATTACCAGCTAACTTGCCCGACGCCACAGAATTAGAATCATGATTGGGTTTTCTATTCCTGATTGCTTCAGCCCACAGCAGATGCTTCAAATTTTCCTTCTCCACTCAGGGTCTTCTCCAAGATCTTCGTTAGCATTAATTACACCTCACAAGGAAATAAACAGAGCTGTTGACAACCCACCCACAGCACAGCAAAGGCTACCAAGGCGTGATCAAAAATACTTCCTTCAGCACCTCTAAATTCCTAATGAATAACTTTGGACTTAACTGGTAATCCATAACATCTTTCTTTTTTTCTTTTTTTTTTTTTTTTTCCCTGAGCAAGCACACAAAGGTTGGGCAATTTATCTGGGTGTAACATCGATATGCTTTCATTTCAAATGTCAGCGTTGCCCTCCGAGCCTCGTGCAATTAGGAGACATAAATTCTGCCCTGAAAGGATCCGAGAGGGACCACAAATATCAGCTGACACCTTAATGGAAATGTCGGATTTGCCCTCCCCAGGCAGGCTGAGGTGATGCTGCACAAGGAGGAATTTCCCAAGCGTGGGCTCGTCCACGCCCGAGGATCTCAACCCGGCGTTGCCGGCTCGCCAAAATAAATATTCCCACAAAATCCAAAATGTTGGGGGTGTTTCCCTGCCAGCAGAACTGCAGGGGTGTGAGACAAACTATGACAGGGGAAGGAGGTAAATTAATGCCTTGCCAGCTGTTTCTGCAAGTCCCACACGACTCTCTGGAAGCCGAATTCCTAAATAAAGCGTGACAACCCTATAAAAGAAATGAAATCCACATTTTAACAACTCAGCCACGGAAAGGCTGAAATTCTACAGGTGCCCAGGCACGGGGCAGGATTTCCTGGCTCCAAATCCAGCTGGCACAAACACAGCTGGGGTTATCGCTGCTCTGACCCATCTCCTGCCCAGACCCCCGTGGTATCCCTGCCCGGGAACAGAGGGAATTTTGTGGGCAGCATCCGACCCCACGAGCACAGCGCATCCACCACGGGGCCCTCCGAGGCTCATGAGCAGCAAAACCGGCTGTGGGGATGGTGATGGTGATGGGATTATCTCCTTAACGAGTTCTAAAAAAGAAATCGTGCACAAATAACGCTTATCCTCGGCCGGCACGGGCTGGGAACCCACTGGGAACGCGACACCATCCCCAGTTTGAAAACGGAATTCCGCGCGACGTCCACGGCATTATGGAACAGGGGCAGGGCTGACAAGGCAAGCACTGCATTTTGCAACCAGACTTCCCTGAAATTAAAAAAAAAAGGGAAAAAAAAAAAAAGAAAAGGAGCGTGGAGGAGCCTTGCGAGCAGCAGAACGTTTCCTGACGCAAGTTTTCTGTTTAGTCACCGCCGCTCCACGCTGGATTTGGGGATTTGGGGCTGGGGAAGGCAGGATTTGCCACCTGCTCCTTGGCTCCCCACAAGCATTCCCTGGAAAAGGCGCTTCTGCCTGTGCCCCGCTATTCAAACCTCAGCTTCAGCTGCTGGGGGGAGACCTGAATAGTTCGGGCGAGTTCCCCATTTGTCACAGGACGGCCTCACCCACAAATCACCCCGAGCTGCCTTTGTACCCCGGGAAGAGCCTGACAGCGCCGGGGCCTCCGGCTGCCCGCGCTCATTCTTCCCCCGGCGCTTCTGCCGCGCCTCGGGGGCGTTTTGGGGAGCAGCCCCCACACTTTGGGAGCTCAGGGTGGGGTGCTCAGTGGGTGATCCCCCCATCTCTGCACCCCAATTTGGTTTTGCTGCTCCTCGGGAGGCGCGATCCCCTTCTTTCGGCAGGGAGAAGCCTTTGGGATGGGGTCACGCGTGGAAAACGGGGAGCCAAGCGCCCGCTGTTAGCAAAGCCCCTCACCACGGTACCCCCAGCTCCGACAGCCCTGACCCGCAGCAGTCCAGCCCCAAAGCCACCCAGACTCTGCCCCGCGCCCCATTTATCACCCCACACGGGGGACAGCGCCCCAAAACATCCCCCGAGGGGACATCCCCCGCTCCCCATCCCCTCAGCCATCCCTGATGGGACAGCAGACCCCCCTCTCACCTCAGCGAAGGGTCCCCCACTTATCCCCCTACGATCTCAGGGAATACATCCCCTCCAAGCCCCCAAGGCGAAGGGGTCCCCAAAATCACCCTTCTTCCCCAAATTCCTCACCAGAGAGCAGCAGCATCCTCCAAGCCCCCCATCACTTCGAGGAGGGGTCTTACACCTACCGCGGCCACTTTAGCTCAGGAAAAGGACCCCCAAACTTGCTCCTCCGCACCGAGCAGGGGTCCCCCACCACCGACACCCCCAGACCTGCCCTCCACCGGGAGCCCCCCGCACCTCGCGGAGGGGCTCCCCAAAATCCCCCCGCGGGGAAGGGGGTCCCCCACCGATCCCCCCCCATTTCCCCTCTCACCGCCTCCCCAAAGCCGCCCCGTACCCGTCACCACCACCGCCCGCCGCGGCTTCTCCATCGCGGCTCCGTCCCGCCCGTCCCGTCCCGTCCCGTCCGGTGCCGCCGCCGCCGCCGCCGCCCCGCACTGAGCGCGGCCCCGCCCCGCGCCGCCCGCCCCGCCCCGCGCCGCCCGGGCCCGCCGCTTCCGCCGCCGCGGCGGAAGTCCCGCAGCGGCACGGCCTGCAGCCCTGCTCCCGTTACCGAGCACCGCCACCCTCCGTGCGCGGCGCAGCCCGAGGGGCTCCCGCTCGCCCGCCTCACCGCGGGACTCGGCGGGGGGAGTTGGTTAAACAAAACGCTCACCTTGAGCCTCCCGCGGGTTCCCCGCCTGGCTGTGGGGGAGCACGGAGCGCGGCCGCGGTACCCGGAGGTGCGGAGCGCGTCCCGCCCCGTCCCGCCGCGCCCCGTCCCGGGCGGTGCCGCCGCAAAGGCGCGGACCGAGCGGCGCGGCGCGGCCGGGCCGTGATCCGCGCTCTGATTGGCTGCGGCGGGACCGCGCCGCGCTCTGATTGGCTGCGGCGGGACCGCGCCGCGCTCTGATTGGTCCCGCGCGGAGCCGGGGGCGGTTTGAGCGGCAGCGCCCGGCGCGGCGGCGGCTCCCGGTCCGGCACGATGGTGAGCGGCGGCACCGGGAGCGGGGAACCGGGCACCGGGCTCGGGAGGAGGCGGGAGGGGAGGGGTGGGACTGGCTCGTCTCTTCTCCCCCGCCAGCGATGGCGTGCCCGGTGCCCCGCTCGGTGCTCGTCGGTGCCCCGGCCGGTGTCCCGTTGTCGGTCGGTGCCTAAGGCCTTTCTCCTCTCTTCCCCTCGTAGCTGCCCCTGTCCTTACTGAAGACGGCGCAGAACCACCCCATGGTGAGTACCGGCCGCGCGGCCCAGCCCCGCTCCCCTCGCCGGTGCCGTGCGGGTGAACCGGGCACGGCCCGGTACCGGCGCTGGGCCGGCGCCCCGTGACTGCTGTTCTCCCGCAGCTGGTGGAGCTGAAGAACGGGGAGACGTACAACGGGCACCTGGTGAGCTGCGACAACTGGATGAACATCAACCTGCGGGAGGTCATCTGCACATCACGGGTAAGGCTGGAGCACCGGCACCGGTACCGGGCAGGGGTCACCCACGGCGGTGTCCGCGGGGAACACCCGGGAGCAGACGGGACTGTCACCCCAGAATCTGTCCCCAGAGGCTCCCCAGCCCTGTCCCTGCAGCCAGGCTGGCTCTGCTGTTGTTCACACCGCTCCTATGGAGACGTGAGCCCTGCCTGAAATGCAGATTTAATATAATTATTAATGTCCATTTAATTAGTGATAACGCCCATCATGAAGGAGCAGCCTCGTGTATGTGTGTGGGTGACTGCACATCACAGAATGAGGGGCTGGGGTCCCTCTTCCCCTGGGTGAGGAGTGGGGGGTTCACGTGCTGTGACGCTGATCCAGGTTTCCCAAAAATCAGAGCCTTTACCTGTCCCAGGCAGCCTCAAACACCACGATCTCTTTGATTCCCTCCAATCTCTTTGATTCCCTCCAATGTCTTTTATTCCCTCCAATCTCTTTGATTCCCTCCAAACTCTTTTATTCCCTCCAATCTCTTTGATTCCATCCCCTCTCCACATCCAACCGAGTTCACCCCACTGAGGCTGTCTGGGACCTTTGCCCTTGGCCAGAGTTGCTCCAGGAGATGGGATCTGTGTTTTGGGCTTTGACCTCCATCAGAAGTGTCTGGTCTCGTCCCTGTGGGAAGCACAGATGGATGGAAATCCAGCTGTTGTTGTGCTTTCCCAGCCCTGGAGTGCCAGATCCTTGTTCTTCCAAAATTCCCCCTGCAAACCCCCTGGTTGTGGTTCCCGTTGTCTCCACGACAGGAGTTTGGAGTGGTGTTGCTGGGGCACATCAGTGTGGCAGAGGAGACACCCTGAGTGGGGTTTGCAGGGAATTTTGGGGTGGAATTTTGGAATTTGAGGCTGGGTCATGGCAGGGCAAGGAACCACTGTTGAATTTAGCGGGAGGGAGGCTCTGAGGAGGTGACAGCAAAGCCTTTCCCGTGCCCAGGACACAGGTGATGATTCCTTTTCCTTGGAAATTTGCTTCCAAAGGCTCAGTGCTCTGCCTGGGAAGAGCAGCAGCCCAGGTTTTACTGGGAGGGATCACCCAGAAGGACGTGGGGGTGTTGGAGCAGGTCCAAGGAGATCAGAGGGATGGAGCAGCTCTCCTGTGGGAAAAGGCTGGGAGAACTGGGGTTGTCCAGCCTGGAGAGGAGAAGCTTTGGGGTCACCTAATTGGGGCCTGAAGGGGCTGACAAAACCACGGAGAGAAACTTTGGACAAGGGATGGAGTGACAGGACGGAGGGAGGGCAGGGTTAGGTGGGATTTTGGGAAGGAAACTCCTCCCTGTGAAGGTGCTGAGGGTTTGGGATGAAATTCCCAGGGCAGCTGTGGCTGCCCCAGCCAGGCTGGACAGGGCTTGGAGCCACCTGAGCTGGTGGGAGGTGTGGAATTGGGATGGTCTTTTAGTCCCAACCCAAACCATTCCACCATTCCATGATTCCATGAGCCGGCACGCAGCAGAGCGGCCTCCAAAAACACCAAAACCACCAAAACCACGCCGGGTGAGGATGGAATCTGTGCCTCGGACTGGTGGCACTGGTGGCACTGGTGGCACTGGCCACTAGATGGCACGGGACAACGAGCCGGGAGCCGCTTGTTTACCCGGGACAGCCGGAACGAGGAAGCGCCTGCAGCTCCATCCCTTCCTGCATCCCCAGCCAGGCGCATCCCAGGCAGGGTGGGGTTTGCCGGGTGTCTCCTGGGGAGGGAATTGCTGCTCCTCTGCCTCCTCTGCCTCCTCCTGGGCTTGCCCGTGCAGGCAGAGCTGCCCCAAATAACTGTTGGGGCGTGGGGAAGGCGTCCCCGGAGAGCAGGAACGGGGCGTGCTGGTTTCTCCTCCTCTCCTGGGATGCTGCAGGCGCCTCCTGCACACGAGGATGGCTGGGCTGGAACCATCCCAGCTGCAGCCAGGCCCTGCTGGAGCCGGCTCCCAGTCCCTCCTCCCACTTACATCATGGCCAGGCAGTTGTTGTTCAGCTCTGGCTTCTCATTCCCACAGCCACTCGCTGGGATGAGTCCTAGGGAAGCCCGTGGTACCCCCAGGAAAATCCTGAAACTGCCCGAAAAGCAGCTCAGGGAAGTGGCTGCTCCGAAACTAGACACCTGAAGGTTTTAATTTTTTAAATTTTTTAAAATAAATGTATAAAGTGCGAGCTCCTTATTCCCCTCAGCTGCTCACATCCCACAGCCAGCTGGCTCCAGAGCTGCCTCGCTGCTCCTTCCACACCCCAGAGGAGAGAAGGAGTGGGGTGGCTCCCAGCTGGACAAGAATCCTGGCCACAGCTGCATTTTTTTTTTTGTTTTTTTACCAGAATTGGTTGTTCACCACCATTTTTAACTCGTGTCTCTTGTCCCACTTTCAATTCCCTTCTCGTGTGGGAAGGGAAGAAGGGCCTTGTTTCCTCCCCCTCTTCTTCTGACATTTTCTGCCAGTGTTTGAGGGAGCTGTGGGACAAATTGAAACTAAAAGTTGATTGTGGGGCTCTGTGTTCTGGGGAGTTGAATGCCCCATTTTTCACAGCTGGTTACAGATAATGCTCCCAGCAAAGACTGCTGGAGCTCTTGCCCTCTCCAGAAATGCTCAAAATCCCTCAAAGTGACCCAAAAGCAGCAGGTTTTGCTCGTGGCCTCACGTGTGGCTCCCCAACAGGACTGGGGACAATTTCAAAATCCCTCAAAGTGACCCAAAAGCAGCAGGTTTTATTTGTGCCCTCACGTGTGGCTCCCCAACAGGACGGGGACAAGTTCTGGAGGATGCCAGAGTGCTACATCCGTGGCAGCACCATCAAATACCTGCGGATCCCCGACGAAATCATCGACATGGTGAAGGAGGAGGTGGTGTCCAAGGGCAGAGGCCGTGGTGGGATGCAGCAGCAGAAGCAGCAGAAGGGCCGTGGGGTTGGAGGAGCTGGACGAGGTAAAAATCTTATTTTTTTTCCCCCTGCTTGGAGAGGGAGGGATGGGATCTCTGCCTTTAAAAATTCCCCTCTTGTGCAAGGAGCAGCTCCTGCTGCTCTGTTTTAAAGGCAGGGCTGTGTCTGGGAGAAGCTGGGGCAGTTCCTGAGCAGGATCCAGTCGGGCGAGTGCCAAGGAACAGGGAGGATTCGTGCCAGGGATGGGCCTCCCTCGTTCCTGGGGTTGGGCAGGAGCTTAAGAGAGTCTGAACTTGACTATTTCAGCTCCTCCTGGCTCGTTTAGGAGCGTGGCCCTGCAGAGCTGTAGCTTAGCAAGGCCCAAGGGGAAAACAAAAGGCAGTTCTGGGCGAAAATAGTGAAAATAAACCAGGCTTTGCCCATGGCTGTGAGACAAAAAAAATCGTCTTCTCCCCCTTTAAAATGGGGCTTTGGGTTTCCTGATTTGTTAATGTATTTATATTAAAAAAAAAAAAAAAAAAAAAAGACAAAACTATGTGAGTGTTTGAGCTGCTCCTGAAACATGAATAATTCATGTTTCTGATAAAGGGGAGGTTGCCACTTCAGAAGAAATAGGTCACCAAAACAGCCCTTCCCATTCCGTGGGGTTAGGTGATCCAGGGCACTTCAGCTGGGGGAGATGCTGCTCCTTTTTCCCCCAAATTACCCCGCTGGGAGCTGTTTCTCTGCTCTCCCCTAATGCCACATTTTTGGGATTTGTGGTCACCCCACAGCCCCGGGGGTGCTCTCGGCCCGGGCTTCCCCTGCAGTCAGAAAAATCCCGAGTTAAATTTTAGGGGACAGGGATTTGTGGAGCCTCCCTGGAGAGCTGCCTGAGCTCTGGCTGTGCCAGGAATCCTGGCAGGACAGCTGGGATGGACCTGGGGCCATTCCCAGCAGCTCCTTCTCCCCAGATCCCCTGGAAACTCCCAGCAGGCAGAACTGACCTTTCCTTTTCCCTTTATTTTTGTTCCCCTCCTCGCCTTTGCCTCGGCAGGGCTGTTTTTTAGGATTTTTTTTGGGGATAAACACCAAAGCCACGCTGTTTTCCCCGCTGTGGCAATGCTCACCTCGTGGGGAGCTCCAAGGTGGAGCTCCTGCTTGTTCCCATGTGCAGCCTCAGTTTGCTGATGGAATATTTTCAAGGGAAGCTTTGGCATTTGCTAATTAGCTCAAAGGTTTGGCTCTCATTACCGAGACAAGAAGGGAGGAGGGAAAGGGAAAAAAAAAAAAAAAAAGGCAGGACAATTTTGTTGGGAGGCCAACGGGCAGGAGGGAAACTGTAATTGTGCTCACAGTTGAAAGGATTATTGTTCCTGACACTCCTAATCCTCCTCCTTTGACTTCTTGCTTGCCAAACTCAGAAGTCCCCAGCCTTGGCTCCAGGAGGAGCATCCCAAGCACTGCAGGGTTGGGAATAATTTGTGTTTTGCCTCTGGTTGGGGCACGTCTCCTCCTCTAGAGAAGCTCTTGTGCCTGGTGCTTGGGTTGGGTCTCCTCTGGGCTCTGCCTTTTGGGAAGCAGGGTGGATCCACATCCCTTTGTCCCCAGGATGGCATTTTGGGGGTAAATCTGAGGGCTGGGCTCAGCAGCTCCTGTGGTTTTTGGGTTTTTGGGATGCTCATCTCACTGCAGCCTCCCCAAAAAAACCCTGCTGTCCTTTGCCCAGAACCAGGGATTGCTCTGTCCGCTTTTTGGGTTGCCCTCGCAGCTCTCAGGGGCCACGTTCCCACCTGGATTTTAAATTTGTGGCTTCCCCGGTTCCATTTTTTTGGAAGAAACTTCATTTTAGCACGAGATTAACATTAATCATGAGACAGACACGCCAGGGAGATCCTGCTGAACTTGCTGCTCATGGGGGGGATGAGTTTATGCACCTCCTAAATAAAAGTCTGGGACTGGGAAAGGAGAAGTCAAAAAGTCACATTTCTGCTTCTAAGACTCAAAAGTAAGCAGGTTTTTGGGTAAAACATGAGTGACTGAAGCTGTAAGGCATTGCTGGCTCACGGGGATGCTGATTCCTGTTCCTTTCTGCCCCACAGGTGTTTTTGGTGGCCGTGGCCGAGGAATTCCGGGCAGTGGAAGAGGCCAGCAGGAAAAAAAGCCAGGCAGGCAATCAGCCAAGCAGTGAGGGCCAGGGACAGTTTGGGATTTGTCACCTCAGGGTTGCCACGTGCCCAAAAACGTTCCCTTTTCCCCCTCTTCCATCAGAGTCAGAGCCCAAAATCATCTTCCTTTGGAAGCCCCTCATGCTTTAATCTGGTGGAGTTTTCACTCTTTGTAGTCAGTAAATCATTGGAAATACTTTTTAAAAATTCGTTCATGGTTAAGGACCGAGGGTCTGCCTTCTCCTGAGAGTGACTTTTTCAGGTTTACCAGGTTTAATTTAAAATATTTTCCTGTTCGGAGGTACCAGAATGAAGGCAAACACTTTCTGGATTGCTTGGATTTTTTTTTTTTTTTAATACTTGAAACTTGGGAAACTTGTTTTGTTTGTAACAAATGCGTTTTGGTTTAAAAACACTGAACTTGAGGATGTTGTGTCTGTACATGAATAGTCCTAAAGGTTTGGGTTTTTTTTTTAAACCAACAAACTTTTGAGCTATTGCTTTTCTTCTCCTGGCCAGTGAGTTCTGTTTCTCCAGTGGCTTAAGGGAGGGATGAACATTGGCCTTCAAGGCTTGTTCCCAAGAGAGCTTTGTGACAAATGAGCATTTCCCAATTAGTTCATTGCTAATTTGACTTCAGATTAGAAGTTTCCTTCAAAGGAACAGGGTTTTTTTCTGTTTTTTTTTTTTTTTTTTAATTTTTTTTTTGCATGAGGCTGGTGCACCCGTTATTCCTCGTGGGGGATTTTGAAATCTTTTTTTTTTTTTGAACAGCAACCTGAGTTGATTTACACAGATTTATTTCCCCCCCCTGCTTTGAAAACTCTCTCCCTTCTGCTGTGACACCGAGTCCTGAACTCTGATGATATTTCTCAACCTAATTTCTCCCAGCACCTGGTGATTGACCTCACTGGCTGTACCTGTCACTTCCTTCCCAACCACCAATTATCTTCCCTTGGGGACTCAGGCCAGCGTGTGAACGTGTCCCTGTGTAGGTTCAGAGAACTCCTGGGAATTCCCAGGTCAGGTTACTCCAGTCTTCCATCCCACGAGCAAAATACACCCTCGGAATATCCTGGCTGATCCCAGTTGAGCACACGGGGGGAATGAACAGCTCTGGGTGTGCCTCAACCCCCCCCGGGACGGATGAAACAGCTGCATTTTGAGGGGAAAACTGATATTGTGGCTTGTTTTGAGCAGGTTTGGGGTTTGTACAACTGGTTCTCATATTGGAGCCTCTGCCATCGCCACTGCACTGAAATGGAGTGAAGAACATGCTTTTATAGACTTATTTTTTTAATGTTTATAGAACTGGGCGCAGTGGTGAGTGAGAATAAATCTCCAGCCTCTTCCAGCCGCCTCCCTCTGTGTGTCTGTGATGCCGCTGGGCCCTTCCCGAGCCCTGGAATCGGGGATAAACCCCTGAACATTCCATTTCCAGCACCAGCCTCGTGTTCTCCGTGGGGCTGCTCACCCCACGCTTCTCCCAGGGAGCCAATTCCAGGGGATGGGGTGATGTGTCCTCCCTCCTGGAAAACTCCTGTGGCATTTTAACAAAGCCCAGGCTGTGTCAGACTTTCCCTTCCCGACCTGCTCCCTCCCTTTGGATCCCTCCAGCCACAGAGGCTCCGTGTGCTGTGGCTTCCCTGCTGGAAAGGGAAACAGCTCCAGCCCTGCTGGGATTTAAGGGCTTTTCTGGCAGCAGAAATCCTGACTGCAGCCATGGGACCTTTGGCTCCAGCTCAGGGTAGAGTCCTCCAAGTGCTCCTTATCTCCTGGGGTCAGGCGATGGAGCTCGTTAAGTTCTGCATTTGTTTAATTACAGCACGGCCTTTAGCAGCATTCCCTGCCTGCTTCCCCCTTTTCCTTTTTCCACCTCTGCAGGAATATTTTTGTCCCCCGGCAAAGGGCAGCTGGGTGGCAGATGGCTCCGTGGAAGGGCACAGCTGTCACTTTGGGCTTTTCTGCCCCAAAAATGAACATCTGGGGCTGTCACTGCCCCTGTGGCAGCGCAGGCAGGCTAAAAACAACAACGAAAAGAAAAAAAATTAAAACAGGGAGGAGCGAGATAAAAGCAACAAGCAGAGAGGAGGAAGAAAAGTCTGAGCCTGGCTGCTGGCGTGGGTGGGCGCAGAGCCTGGGCACGGAAAGACCCAGCAAAGGCCACCCTGGAAACCCTTCCCGGGATATTTTGGTGGCAGTGGAGCTGGTGGCAGCCCCGGGTTTGTGTCTCTGACCGCGCCACGGTGACTCAGAACTTCTGAGCCTCGCCGAGGAGGCAGCACAGGAATAGTTACACACAGCGACGCGAAGGGAGTGGCTGCCGAAATACTTCAGGGCTGTGCTAAGCAACTAAAAATACACGTCAAACCCTCCTCCTCCTTTTTCCTTTTTAAATCTGTTTTCTTTCTCTCTTTATTTCTGGTTTTTTTTTTTTTTTTTTTTTTTAATTCTTGTTTTTGACTGTTGGAGGCCCCTGGGAGTTCCTCGGGGACAGGGGCAGGTTTGGGGACAGGCACTGGCAGCTGTGACTTCTTGTTTTCCCGGCTCGGTTCCTCTCTCCCTGCCTGTGGCAGTGACTAAGAGGCAGCTTCCCCTGCGTGCCCGGCGCTGCCGTGCCAATCCCGGGGTGCCAACCCTGCTGGTTCCCCTTTCCAGGGGGAGCTGGTGCCTGGGTGCCCACCTCGTGTCCAGCCCACGTTCTCGGTGTCCAGAGGGTCAGCCACTGGTGCCGTGGAGCTGGTGGCACACAGGGACAGCCCTGGTGGCACTGCTGGGGACAGCAGGAGCCGTGAGGATGCTCTGGTGGCCATGGCCTCGCTCGAGGCTCATCCCAAATCCTGCGGGGTAAATCCAGTGGCGGGACACCGTGACTCAGTGGGGCCGAGCCGGGCTCTGACGCCCCCGGGAACGGCAGCTTTGGCCACCCCGCCACCGTGGGGACAGTGGCACTGCCACCCGTGACCTCCCCACGGGCGGAAGGGGTCACTGATTCACTCCCCTCATTAAACGCTCATTAAGAAAATGAAGCCGCTGGCTCGCTGCAGGCGTTGGGTTCTTGCTTTGGGGACAAGGGACAAGCGGAATGAGCAGCAGGGGTGGCAGGCTGGCAGAGCGATGGGGGGACACAGCGGGACGAGCCCCAGGGTTGGGAGGGTTGTGCCGGTGGCTCGTGGCTCATCCCTGGCCCCACTGGAGGCCCGGGGACCGGCTGGCTGCTCCGTGGGACGGCTGGAAGTGCCACCAGCCCAGGCTGGTTCTGCTCGGCCCCACTGCTGCCATGTGGGTACCCCCGTGCCCATGTGGGTACCCCCGTGCCCATGGGGTGCCCCGAGCCGGGCTGGCACAGGGGGAAGGGGAGGTTTTGTACCTCCCTGTCCCTCGCCCGCCGGGTTCGGTCAGGATGGAAAGTCTGAACCTGCCGGTCCGGCCGCGGCCGCGCCCCTAATGAGGGGTTTGGAGCGGAAACGGGGACGGCGGCGGCTTCACCGGGGGGACACCGGGACACCGGGCCTGGCACTGCCACCACCGCCCACCTGCGTGGGGACAGCGGGGGACACACGGAGCTGTGTCCGCTCTGCTCCAGCCGGGATTTAATAAACTGCATTGATTCGGGGTTTTAATTAACAGCAGCTGTTGGCGGCACGGAGGGTCGATGGCAGCCGTGCCTCAGTTTCCCCGGTGCCAGCACCGTGTGCAGCGCTGCCACAGCCCTGTCCTGGCTGTCACCGTGTCCCCTGAAGCCAGGGCTGTGCCGTGCCGTGCCGTGCCGTGCCACACCGGCTGCGGGCAGCACACGGCACGCACACACCGGGCCAGCAGCTCGTGGCACCGGGAGAACCGGGGGAAGCACGGGGAGGGGGGGGACTGACACCGCAATCAGCGGCGGCTCAGCGTCAGCCGCCCCGGTGTGTGTCCCGGTGTCCCGGCGGCGCGGGGGCCGCATCCTGCCCGGTGTCGGGGGGGTTATCGGCGGCCACCGGCGCTGCCTCCCCCCGCTCCGGTGATGACGCCAAGCGCTGACGCCGATCCGCCCCCTCAGCCGCCCGCGGGCTCGGCCGGCCGTGACGTCTGCCACCGCCACCGCCGCCGCCGTTAACTCCTTCCCCGGTGCTGCCGTGCCCCGGGCTGAGCCACGGTGCCGGTGTGACCGTGCCGTGATGGTGGAACCCCCCGCCCTCCGCCCGGCCCCGGTGCGCCGGAGGGAGCGGCTGATCCCCGGGGAAACCCCGGTGCCACCGGGAGCCGGCGGTGACAAACACGCGGTGGCACGGGGGACACGCGGTGGCACGGGGGACACGCGGGACTGGCGGTCCTGTCCCGGTGTGACCCTCACCGCTGGTGGCCCGGCTGTCCCCAGGGGTTCCCGCGAGGCCCCGTGCCGGTGCCTGGCCCGGTGTGCTCCTTTATTTATTTATTTATTTATTTATTTATTCGTTTCTGCGTCGTGCCCTTTGTCCAGCCGGGGCCCAGCTCGGTGCCCGGTGCCCGGTGGCCATGCGGGGACCGGTGCCCAGCGCTGGTGGCCGGTTCCTGTGCCCGCTCCCAGTTCTCAGCAGCCAATTTCCATGCCCGGTTCCCATTCCTATTCCCGGTGCCTGGTTCCCGGTGCCCTATGGCCAGTTCCCAGCGCCCACTTCGAGGTGCCCTGTGCCGTTCCCGTGCCCGGTTCCCGGTGCCCTGTGGCCCGTTCCAGTTCCCTGTGCCCAGTTCCGGGTGTCCTGTGCCCGTCCCCGTACCCAGTTCTCAGTGCCCTGTGTCCAGTCCCCGGTTCCCAGTTCCCGGTGCCCTGTGGCCGGTGCCCGTACCCACTGCCGTTCCCGTTCCCGGTGCCCAGTGCCGTTCCCGTGCCCGGTTCCCGGTGTCCCATGCCCGGTGTCCCATGCCCAGTTCCCGTGCTCGGTTCCTGGTGCCCTGTGGCCTCTCCCCGTGCCGGTTCCCGGTTCCCATGCCCAGTTCCTGAGCCCGGTTCCCATGCTCGGTGTCCCGTGCCCGGTGCCCGGTTTCCGTGCCCTGTTCCCATGCCCGTGTCCCGTGCCCCGTGCCCGGTTCCCGGTTCCCATGCCCGGTTCCCGGTGTCCCGTGCCCGGTTCCCATGCCCGGTGTCCCGTGCCCGGTTCCCGGTGTCCCGTGCCCGGTTCCCGGTTCCCGCCCCTCCCTTTGTGCCCATCAGCGCCGCGGGGGCCACGTGCCCGCCCCTCCCGCGCGCTGACGTCATCCCAGGGCCCCGCGCGCTGTTGTCCCGTTTACCGCCGGTCGCCGCGGCGACGGCCGCGGGGGCGTGGCCGGGAACGGGGCGTGGCCTCCCCGCCCCGCGGAGGCGGCGCCACGCCCCGTATGCAAACGAGGGCGGGAGAGGACGTCATCTGCGGCCAATGGGGGCTCGGCGCGGTGAGGTCACCGCGGCGGGGCCGCCCTATTTAAGGCGGCGCGGGGCGCGCGGCGGCGGCAGAGCCGTGTGCGCGCGCGCAGCAGCGGGGCCGCGGCCGGTGCGCACCGGGCGCCTCCCCCGCCCTCCCCCCCCATCCCGCCCCGCGCTCGCCCCGGTCCTCCCCCCGCCCCGGCGCCGTTTCCCCCGCAGCCGGGCGGGGGAGGAGGATGGAAACACCTTTCTACCATGATGATGTGTTGAGCGGCCTCGGCAGCGGCTTCGCCCCGTCCTCCGGCAGCAGCGGGCTCCTCCTGCCTTTCCCCGGCGGCAGCATGATGAAGAAGGACGCGCTCGGGATGGCCTTACCGGAACAGGTGGCGGCGGCGCTGAAAGCCCCCGGCGCGGCCAGCGGCGAGGCGGCGGGGCTGCTGGGCTCGGCCGAGCTGGGGCTGCTGAAGCTGGCGTCGCCGGAGCTGGAGCGGCTCATCATCCAGTCCAACGGGCTGGTCACCACCACCCCGACCAGCGGCCAGTTCCTCTACCCGAAAGCGGCCGCCTCCGAGGAGCAGGAGTTCGCCGAGGGTTTCGTCAAGGCGCTGGAGGACTTGCACAAGCAGAACCAGCTGGGCGGCGGGCGGCGGCGGCGCGGGCGGCGGCGGCGGCGGGGGAGGAAGCGGCGCGGGCGAGCTGCCCGCCGCCGGGATGGCCCCGGAGCCGCCGGTCTACGCCAACCTCAGCACCTACCGGCCGTCAGCTACGCCGCCGACCCCGGCCCGTTCGCGGCGCCGCCGCCGCGGCTGCCTCCGCCGCCGCCGCCGCCGCTAAAGGACGAGCCGCAGATCGTGCCGGAGGTGCCGAGCTTCGGGGAGAGCCCCCCGCTGTCCCCCATCGACATGGACACGCAGGAGCGCATCAAGGCCGAACGGAAGCGGCTGAGGAACCGCATCGCCGCCTCCAAGTGCCGCAAGAGGAAGCTGGAGCGGATCTCCCGGCTGGAGGAGAAGGTGAAGAGCCTCAAGAGCCAGAACACGGAGCTCGCCTCCACCGCCAGCCTGCTCCGCGAGCAGGTCGCCCAGCTCAAGCAGAAGGTGCTCAGCCACGTCAACAGCGGCTGCCAGCTCCTGCCCCAGCACCAGCACCAGGTGCCGGCCTACTGACCCCGGGCACGGCCCCGGGGGTCCCGGGCACGGAGCCGGGGGAGCGCCCGCCCTGCCCCGGCCATGGACCGAGGGGAACGGGGGGGAGCGCTCACCGAGCCCCGGGAACGGACCGAGGGGTCCCGGGCACGGACTGAGGGGAGCGGGAGAGAAGCGCCCGCCTTGCCCCGGGTATGGACCGAGGGTCCCGGGGGAAGCGCCCGCCTTGCCCCGGGCATGGACCGCGGGTCCCGGACTGGGGGGTCCCGAGGGGAGGAAGAAGAGCGATGATCGCCCCCCCTCTCCATCTCCCCGGACACAGACTGAGGGGTCTGAGGGGAGGACCGGGACCGGCTGCGGACGGTGGGCACCGAGCACGCCCCGTTCCCCACGGAGGGACCGGCGGCGGGGGGGGGGGGGGGTCCCCGCCGCGCACGGACTGAGAGGGGCTCGGGCCGCCCCCCCGGGCCCTCCGCGCCCCACACATTCCAGTGAGGTCCCAGTAAAACCCCGCACACGGAGAATTGGCCTGTGGCTGTTTGCTGCGCCCGGCAGGGACGGGAAGGGAAGGGGCGGCGCGGGCAGGAAGCGGCGCGGCCGGGTGCCATTTTGGGGTGGGGGGGGGGAACGGCGACCGGGGGGTTTGGGGAGTTTTGGGGGGCGATGGGGAGCGGGGTGAGGACCCTCCATGGCTGGCAAAGAGGTTCTGGGGGTCACTGGAGAGGGTGAAGGGCGAGGGGGTCCATAGGGTTGTGGTTACTGGGGAGGGGGTGCTGGGGGGAGCTGGGGAGGGTGGAGGGGGTAGTGAAAGGTTGGGATGTTGCGGGGGCTGTGGGGTTATTTGGGCTCTCTTGGGGGGGAATATGGGTATATTTGGGCTCCCCTGGGGCTGAGGGGGTCCCCATGGGTGAGGAGGTGGGCGAGGGGACCCCAGGGCTGCTCCTGGCTGTGGCTCTGCTCTGCCAGACCCTCTCAGTTTTTGGGGGGGGGTCACCACCACCCCCCTGTCCTGACCCCCAGGGTCACCTCCATGCACCCAGCGAGGCCGGGCCTGCGCTGCTCCCCCCAAACTTCGGCAACAGCCTCGGGCTCCCCGGCACCGCACCGGCTCCTCCTCGGTGTTCCCGTCCCGGGGGGAGCAGCACCCGGGGGTCCCACCCTGTGTCCCCGGGGCGTTTGGGGACGCTGCTGGCGGCAGCTCCAGCCCGTTCCAGCAGCAGGATCGCCGAGCTGGCGGGGAGCCGGCTGTGCGAGAGCGTGGGGAGCCCGGGCACCCTGCCCGGGGGGCTCCCCGGGGACCCCACGCTCGGTACCGGGCCGGGCCATGCCGTGGGTGGCTCCCCGGGGACCCCACGCTCCGTGCCGTGCCGTGGGTGGCTCCCCGGGCACGCCGTGCCAACCGGCTGCGGTTTGCCGGAGGAAACGCCGTCCCCGCCGCGCGGAAGCGGCGCCGTCCCGGCCCGGTGGAGCTGCGCCCCGGATGTGCCGCTCCGCTCGGGGAAGATGGACGGGGCGGGCACCTGTGCGGCGCCTCAGTGTCCCCAAGTCCCCGCATCCTCGTGTCCCCAGTCCCATCGTCCCCGCATCTCGGTGGCCCCGGGTTCCTTTGTCCCCACATCCCCGGTGTTCTGTGTCCCGGTGTCTCCGCTTTCCCGGGTCCCTTTGTCCCCAAGTCCCCACATTCCCCGATCCCTTTGTGCGCACTTCCCGGTGTCCCCACGTGTCCGCGGAGATGGCGGCAGGACTGGCTCTCGGTACCGGGGCTCTCACGGTCCCGTGGCGGGAGGTGGGCGGGGGGATGCAGGGCCGGGTTTGGGGGGAGTTTTGGGGTGGGCTCCCCCCGGTGCCCGTGGGGTCCCCCCGGTGCCCGCGGGGTCCCGGCGCTGCGGTGCCGCCCGGTACCGACAGGGGGCGCCCCGCCTCCCCCGGGGCGGATAAAGGCGGCGGCACCGGCACCGGCACCGGGCGGGATGGCCCGGGGCGCGCTCCGCCTGCTCTGCTGCGCCGCTGCCCTGCTCGCTGCCGCAGGTACCGGGCACCGGGGGGGTCCACGGGGTCCCGGGGGCACGTGGGATCTGCGGCACCGGGGGGTGGGCGCTTCCCGGTACCAGCGGTGGGTGTGTCTGTGGCCTCTCCTTGCCCAGTTCCACGTACCGGGAGAAGCGTCCGGGGCACCGGGAAGCTCGGGGGGGGTGACACGTGTTGCCTCGCGGTTTGCACGGGCGGCCCGGTGGGGCACTGGGGGGGTCCCGTGTCCCTCCCGGGGCTGGGGTCACCGGGGGGCTGCTCCCCGGGCTGCCGGACCGGAGCACGCTGCCCCTCCCGGGCGGTGCGGCGCCGGGGCTGCCGAACCGGCTGGTCCTGGCACGGGTACCCTGGCACGGGTACCCTGGCACCTCACCAGCACTCCCGGGGCAAAGCTCTCCCCGGTATCCCGCGCCTCTGTGGGCCCCCGTTTCCAGCCCGGGCCCCCCGCACCCTCCCCGCACCCCGAGGGGCCTCAGCTCACCCATCCTGGCACACTGGGTGCTGGGTTCCGTGCCATCCTGGCAAAGGTGCCAGCTGGGTGGGCCTGGCACCACGCTGTGCCCCTGGGTGCTGGCTGTGCCCCTGGGTGCTGGCTGTGCCCCTGGGTGCCGGCTGTGCCCCTGGGTGCCGGCTGCGCCCCTGGGTGCTGGCTGTGCCACGGGGCATTTCTGCCCGGTGTCCCCCTGGGGCCAGCCTGGACTTGCTCCTCCTCTTGTGCAAACAGGATTTGGGCAGATAAGGGGCACTGCCAGCGCAGATAAGGGCACTGCCAGCGCTGCCCGGCCAACCTGCTCTGTCCCGGGAGAGTCCCCACCGTGCCAGGCCCCGAGGGTGCCACAAGGACTGGGTCGGTGCTGTCCCTGTGCCTTGGCACTGCCCGCTGCTGCCAGGCTGCTCTGCTCGTGCCCAGCAGTGCCGTGCCCGTGCCAGCTCGGGGAGCTCTTTGTGATTCTGGATTTCTGGGCTTTGGTACTGGTGAAATCCCGGTTTTCTGTGGGATAAAAACCAGCTGGGAAATGATCGCTGGGAGGTGGGGCGGGTGCTGCTGCCCTGCCAGGACCCTGCCAGGGTCCTGCCATGGGGTTGCTCAGCAGCTCTCTCCTCCACGGTCTGGGGCCAGGACCTGCCACCGCGGTGTCAGGACAGCTCAGGGACAGCCGTGTCACCGTCTCCATCCCGTTCAGCCAGAGGCAGCAGCCGGGGGACTCGGGGGGTGAGTCTGTCTGGCCGTGAGCTGGGAGCACTCAACGCATCTCTATCCACGGCAGCAACTTCATCCAGTACCCCGGGACCAACAACATCTCCATCCACCACCACCACAACAAAATCTCCATCCAGCACCACCACAACAATAACATCTCCATCATCTCCATCATCTCCATCCAGCACCACCACCACCACAACTCCATCCGGTACCTCGGGACCAACAAAATCTCAATCCAACACCAACACAACATCTCCAACATCTCCATCATCTCCATCATCTCCATCCACCACCACCACCACCACAACATCTCCAACAACTCCATCCAGCACCGCCATATCTCCATCTTCAGCCGGGACACCGGGATCAACACCTTTGCCACCCTCATCCAACGCCACCACGGCACCAACTCCATCCCACACGAGCGTGTCCAGATCCACCGAGCGTCCCCCCAACTCCCCCCCGCCGCCAGCCCCACCCTCAGCCAGGCCCTCCTCTGGGCCTGCCTCTCCCGGCTCCCCCGTGCCCACCGTGGGCCCCAGCAGTGGCAGCGCTGTCCCCAGCAGCCCCAGAGTGACAGCAGCCCCCGGCAGCACCGCTGGCAGCCCCGGTGAGAGCCGGGCTGGGGGCGCTGGGCAGATGGGGCACCTGGGGATGGGCACGGGTCCCCTGGAACCCCCACTTGGGGCTGCACTCGCAGGTGGGCTCAGGGTGCCCAGAGCCCCCCTGGCTGCTCCCCACTCCTTGGGGGGGTGTTGAGGGCTCCCCGTTCCCCTCCAGTCTCTGCCAGGGGGCACAGGGTGCCACAGGAGCTGGGTGCCAGGTCTGTGATGGGGTGACAGGAGCCAGGCTCCAGCCACCCCTTTCTCTGTGGTGCTTGGAGGCTGGGCACGACCTTCAGTGGGGGGATAACGGGGTGTTGGGGGGGATAATGGGGTGCTGGGGGGGATAATGGGGTGCCAGGAGGATAATGGGGTGCCAGGGAGGATAGCATGGTGCTGGGGGGAATAATGGGATGCCGGGGGGGATAACAGGGTGCTGGGGGGAATAATGGGGTGCTGGGGGGGATAACGGGGTGCCAGGGGGAATAACGGGATGCTGGGAGGAATAATGGGGTACTGGGGTGGGATAATGGGGTGCCAGGGGGAATAATGGGATGCCGGGGGGAATAGCAGGGAGCCGGGGTGGGATAACGGGGAGCCGGGGGGAATAACGGGGTGCCAGGGAGGATAGCATGGTGCTGGGGGGAATAATGGGATGCTGGGGGGGATAATGGGATGCTAGGAGGAATGGCGGGGAGCCGGGGGGAATAACGGGGTGCCAGGGGAATAACGGGGTGCCCATCTCGCCCCCCAGAGCAGCACCCCACTGAGCTGAGCCCCGCTGCGGTGGCCCTGGTCTCGCTGGCCGTGTGCCTGCTGGTGGCGGGGGTGGCCGCGCTGCTGGTGCGGCGCTCCCGGCGCGGGTCCCCCCGCTTCCAGCACCTGGATGAGGTGCCCATGGTGCGTGCGGGGGCCGGGGGTGGCCGGGGGGGATTTGTGGGGGGCAGCAGGTCCGGGCTGCAGGCGCTCACCCCGCTCTCCTTCTCTCCTTCCCCAGAGCAAAGTGATGGAGGGGTGCCCCGTCCCCCCCCCGACCCCCAGCTGACGCCCCCCGCCGCAGCCCCCCGGGCTCCCCACGCTGCCGAATAAAGGCTCCGCTGCTCTGCCTCCGGTTTCCCGTCTGCCATGTGCTCCGCAGCCCGCCCGGGGAAAACCCCCGTTCCCGGGGGCGGCCCCGGCCGCTTTCGGGGTGCCCCGGGCCGGCGGAGGGGGGCGCGGGGAGGTGCCGGGGCTGGGGGGGCCGCGCAGCCCCCGCGGGGAGGTGGGATGGGAGGGAGCGAGCGGCCAGGCACGCACGGCGCTTTCCTTCTGCTCCGCTGCACTCGGCGGGGCCGCGCCAGCCGCCAGGACCGGGCACCGGTGAGGGGCTGCGGGCGGGCCCGGGGGGCTGGCGGCGGCGGGGACCCCCGTGCCGGGCGGCGGTGCTGACTGGGGTTGGGATGAGGCCGCTGCCGGTGCTGCAAAATCCCGGGGGGCTCGGTGCTGGCGGCTCTGGGGGCATTGCCGTGCGCCCCGGTGCGCCCCTGTGCGCCCCGGTTCTCGGGGACGGTGGTGGCCGGTGTCCGGGGTGGGTCATTAACGTGGCACCGGTGGGTGCTGCGGGCTGGGGGCCTCAGAGCCGTGTCCCTGTCCCCATCCAGCCCACGGGAGCACCGGGAGTGGGGCGGGGGGGTCCCGAAACTCGAGGTGTGGGGGCTGAGCCCGGCCGGGAGCCGGTGGCCAGAAATCCCGGTGGGGAGGAGCCCGCGTGTCCCGGGCCGGGGTGTCCCCGGGGTGTCCCCGGGGTGTCCCCAGCGGCGGGAGGGGGGTCTCTGCCCGGCCGCGGCTCCCGGAGCTCCCCCCGCAGAGACGGCGATGAGACGGAGCCGGACAGCGCTGCCCTTCCTCGGCGCGGAGGTGAGACCGGCACCGGGAGGCACCGGGAGGCACCGGGAGGCACCGGGAGGGCGAGGGGTGTCCCCGGTATGAGCGTCCCAGCGCCGCGCCCCCGGGCAGCAATAACCGTGCTGGCGGCGCTGAGCGGGAGTTAATTATCCCCTTAATGGGCGGTTAATTATTATTCACATCTGCGTAATTGCTCGCCGGCCCCGGCGGTTTTTCCGGCGGGGTCCCGGGGGAAGTCGGGGGGGTCCTGTCCGGTGGCGGCGGGAGCAGGAGGCGGAGGAGGACGGGGGTGCTCCCGGTGCCCGGTGCGCTGCGGGCGGAGCCGCTCCGGTGCACCGGCCGTGCCTTTCCCCGCGCCCACGGAGCGCCCCGGTGCCCCGGTGCCCCGGCTGCGGCGCCGCACCGTGCCCGGCAGGGGGCGCCGGCGCGCTACCGGCGCTCGGTACCGGCGGGGCGGGCGGGGGGCGCTGCCCGGGCGGGACCCTCGGGCCGGGATCAGCGGGGAGCTCCCGGTGCCGCTCCTCACCGCCGCTCCGCTTCCCGGCAGCGCTGCCGCGACCCCGCCGAGGCCGCCCCGTCGGGCCCGGGCCCGGTAGCGGCGGTGGGCGCCGTGCGCCGGCGTTTCTCCGGGACCCCGCTGCTGCCGCCGCTGGGCTGCCGGTTGGCGGAGGCGGCCCGAGCCCCCGAGCCCGAGGCTGCCCGGGTGGTGTTCACCATCGAGGAGAGCGGCCCGAGCAGCGGCGATGAGGCCGAGCCCCCCCGGTAAGGGCGGGACGGGGGGAGGTGATGCCCCGGTGGCACCGGGAACGGGTTACCGGGCAGGGCACGGCTGGCGGGGACGCTCCGGGGTTCAGCACCGGCGGCCGGACAGCGGCACCGGGGCAGAGCACCCAGTGGGTTGGGGACAAACTCTTCTGTCACCGACCCCGCTGTGCCAGCCCCGGGATGCCCATTGTGATCACCGTCCGTCCCTGTCACCCCCAACTCTCCTGTCCCCACTGTCCCCATAGCGCTGTCGCTGTCACCCCCACCCTGTCCTCACCCTCCTCCCCCTCCTTGTCCCCATCCCGTGGCCCTGCCAGAGCCACCAAGGGCTGGCCTGGCCCTGCGGAGGTGACCTCGGTCCCTCCCGCGGTGGCTCGGGCCCAGCTGTGCTGCTGCCGGGCTATTTTTGGGCCATTCCCCCTGTCCCGTGCCTCTCCCAGCCCGGCTTGTGGGGACAGCAAGGAGCTGGCACAGCCCAGGGACATGGCTCTGGTGTCACTTGTCCTCCAGGCCTGCACAGACACGTGGGGACAGTGACACTCCGATAAGGACTGGCTGTCCTGGGGCCAGCCAGCACAGGGGGCTCTGCCCTCCGTGCCACGTCCCCTGCTGTCCCCGTGTCCCACCATCCCTCCGCCCTGATGTCCCCAGGGTCATGCTTGCAGTCCCTTGAAAGCCAAGGTGACGCCTCCAGGACCCCCTCGGGTGGGTTTTGGGGTCCCTGATGGGGCTGGCGTGGCAGGGGGGGCTCTGTTGCTGTCCCCCCTGGTGGGTATTTTTGTGGCCCTCAGGAACAGCAGGGAGCCACATCCTGCTGCCTCAGGCTGGGCAGGTGCCAGCTGCCACGGCCACCCCACAGTGTCACTGTCACTGCTCCTGCTGCTCCCTGTTCTGCTCCGGAGTGGCTCCAGCACCAGGGATGGGCTGGGGCTCGGGGTGGGGTGGCTTTGGCTCTCACAGGTCCCTCGGTGGCACCGTGGCATGTCCACACCGCCTGCCCGGGATGCTCCGTGCTCAGCTGTGTCCCTCGATGGCACCGTGGCACTGCCACACCGCCTGTCCAGAGTGCTCCAGACTGAATTGTGTCCCTCAGTGGCACCATGGCACAGCCACACCGCCTGTCCGGGATGCTCCGTGCTCAGCTGTGTCCCTCGGTGGCACCATGGCACGTCTGCTCCGTCCGTCTGGGTCCCTGGAGGATTTTCGTGGGTCCCTGGGGGATTTTCCTGGCTCCCTGGGGGATTTCCGTGGGCCGTTTTCCCGTGTCCCCGGGCAGAGCACCCCTGCCCTTTCAGGAGCAGCTGCCGCGGGGACAGCAGGGTGGCCGGTGGCACCGGGCCAGCGAGGGGCCACGTGCCCGGCCCGCCGGGCGCACCGGGGGGGGACCGGCTCCGTGCGCGGCTGCCGGAGCCAGACAGTTGTTTAATTTCCCAGGCGCAGGGCCGGGAGGGGGATGGAAAGTTTCCCGGGGCCGCCGGGACCGGGACGGCCGCACGCTTCCTGCTGCGCACCGGGGGCGGCGGGGCCCCGCCGCCGGCCCGGGGGTCCCTGAGGCGGGCCATGCTGCCCACCGCGCACTGCTCGCCGGGGGCTTCTCCGGCCACGTCCCCCCGCAATTCTCCCGTCCTCTTCAGGAAGCTCCTGATGAGCCAGAGCATCCGCCTGCAGCGGCGCTTCACCGTGGCGCATCCCCTCTGGTAAGGGGGCACGCCGCGGGTCCCGCGTGGGGGTGGCACCAGCCCGCGCTGCCGGCCTGGGGACAGCGGCTCTCCCCGGACTTGTGCCACGGGCCCACGGGGACGAGGAGGGGACAGCGGGTGTCCCCACGGGGTCAGCGGGAGCGCCGGACGAGCGGGGCTGAGCACGGACACGCTCACGGCAGCGATGGCCACGCAGGGACCCCGCTGGGGACAGAGGGGGACTCTGCCCTCCGAGCCACGCGCCGTGGGGTTGGTTTTGGGGTGCCGGCCCCACTTGCTGTGGGGCTCAGCGCATCCCTCCTCTGCAGCGACAACATCTATTTATAGCGGCCCCCCCAGCCCGGCACGGACACCGCTCGGAGGTCATTAGCGCTGAAACGAGGGGGGTTAATTGGGCACCAACCCCGTGGCAGCGGCTGGTGACCCCGGGGCTGTCCCCCGCGGTGGCAGCGAGGTCAGGGGTGGTGGCACGGGGCCGGGAACAGGCGCGGGCATCACCCCGCGGGGCCGTCGTGGGGACAAAGCGGCTTTGTGCGGCCGGTACCATCGGGGCTGGGAAGCCGAGGCAGGAAAACAAGGGGCTGCGGGGTGGCATGACGCGGTGCCGGCTGGCACTGCCACTGCCGCCGCCGGGCACGGCCGTGCTACAGCCACCGGAGCGGGACGATGCTGCCGGGCAGCCGGTGCCCGTCCCGGAGGCACTCCTGCATCGGGTAGGTGCTGGGGACGCGGTGGCCCCGGTGCCATCTGCGCTCCCCCGCTGTTCTGGGGTGGCTGCGGGAGGGGACAGGCGCTGGGTGGCCCTGGCCGTGTCCCTGCTGCGTGCAGCCTTTCCCATGACCCCGGGGCCGGCGGAGCAGCAGGGTGGGTGAGGCGGCTTGGGGACACTGCGGGGTCACCATCGTGCCCCCTGTCCCCCCTGGGTGCACACGGCTGCCAGGTGACTCCGGCTGGGGTGTCCCTGGGCCGCTGCCAGCGTGTCCCCAGGGGCCGGGGCTTGGCTTCTGCGTCGGTTTCTGTCCTTCGATGTCCCCTGGCTCTGTGCCGTGGCTGGATGTTGTCCCCTCCATGGGACACGGCACCTCGAGACGGGGCTGATGGAGGCTTTGGAGGACTTGGGACCGTGGTGCTGGTGACAGGTAGGGGGAGGGACAGGCAGGAGCCAGCCCTTCCTGGGGTCCCTGGAGCTGGGTCCTGTCCCACCCGGGTGACACGGGACAGCCCGGCTCTGCCACTCGGTGTCCCAGAGCCCGCTGTGCCAGCAGGAGCTGAGGGTCTGCACCGAGCTGGGCCCGTTCTCAGCAGCAGGGCCAGACCGGGCACCGGTGTCACCACAGGGTCACCGAGCCAGAGCGTGCTGGACAGAGCGAGATGGTGGCACAGACACCCCGAGAAACGCGACAGCATCTCCTGGGCTCAGGTCCCTGTGCCACGTCCCCCGTGCCAGCCTTGTCCCCTGTCCCCTCACAGCTTTGACCTGGAGAATGGCCCCCCCGGCCGGGGCACCCTGGACCCCCAGGCCAGCCCGGGCGCGGGGCTGGTCCTGCAGGGCACCTTCTCCCACGGCCAGCGCCGAGAGTCCTTCCTCTACCGCTCCGACAGCGACTACGACCTGTCCCCAAAAGCCATGTCCCGCAACTCCTCCATCGCCAGCGACCTGTGAGTGTCCCCCAGCCCGCACCCCCCGGGACAACCCTCCCCTTCTCTTCCCTCCCATCCCCTCCCCAGCCTCACGCTCCCTGTGCTCCCCCAGGCATGGAGAAGACATGATCGTCACCCCCTTTGCCCAGGTAAGTGCCACGGGGGACACAGGAGGGGACACGGGGTGGGTGTCCCGCGGGGGTCCGCCCGACCCCAGCCCCCTGTCCCCCCCCAGGTCCTGGCCAGCCTCCGCACAGTCCGCAGCAACCTCAGCCACCTCCAGGACCGCGCTGGCATCAAGTGAGTGGCGGGGGGTGGGAGGGCGAGGATGTCACCCGAGTGGGGACCCCGCCCCACGGACACGGGGGGGTGGGCACCGCTGTGGGGGTCGCAGGCACTGAGCCCCCCGTGTTTCCCAGGCGGGGATCGAGCAGCAGCCTGCCCTCGGCGAGCAAGGCCAGCCTCTCCGGTGAGTGCCGGCGGGGACGGTGCTGGGCAGATTTGGGACGAGCTGGCTGTCCCCGTGTCGCCACGCCGTGTCCTGCCGTGCCCTGGGGGTGCAGCATCCCCTCCCCACCCAAACCAAGGCAGAGCTGCGGCTTTGCCCTTTGGGATCCATGTCTGGTTTTCGGCAGCTCCTCCCGCCCTTGGCGGCGGTGGAAAAGCTCCGCTTGACGTCAAAGCTTCCATTAATAAAGGCCGGCGGTGCGCGGGGCCCCGCGGGAGCGCGGCTGCCCCCGGGGCTGGCTGTCACCCCGCGGGACAGCGTGGCACGCCGCGTGCCGGGGCTGCCACCCCGCGGGGACAGCGTGCGGGGCCGAGCCCACCGCCCGGGGATGCCTGACCCCCATCCCCACATCCCCCTGTGCCCCCCACCCCGCCCCGCTCGGGGGGTGCTGCCAGCCCCCCGGGTTTGGGGTGGCACCGGGTGCCCCGTGCCGGGTGGCCGCGCTGCTGGCAGGTCCCTTGCCAAGCTGGCGGGTGCCCCCAGCAGAAGATGCCCAGCAGAAGCTCTCGAGGGAGACCCTGGAGGAGCTGGATTGGTGCTTGGACCAGCTGGAGACGCTGCAGACCAGGCACTCGGTCAGCGAGATGGCCTCCAACAAGGTACGGACCTTACCAGGGTCATGGGGACCCCAGAGTCCCCCGGGGCGTCCTGGCAGCCCCCCACACCGCTGACCCTGCCAACCACCCCCAGTTCAAGCGGATGCTGAACCGGGAGCTGACGCAGCTCTCGGAGACCAGCCGCTCCGGGAACCAAGTGTCCGAGTACATCTCCAGCACCTTCCTGGGTGAGCACCTCCCGCCCACCCCGGGGTCACCTCCCGCCCCGGGGTCACCTCCCACCCCGGGGTCACCTCCCGCCCCGGGGTCACCTCCCCGCTGGCACCAGCGTGGCCTTTGTGTCCCCAGAGAGCTGGGGTGCCCATGGGGATGATGCCAGCAGAGGGTCCCACTTGCTTCTTGTGGAGGGTTGGAATGGGGGGACACAGTGGGATTTGTCCCACAAATGTCACAGCATGTGTCCTGGCTGGGAGTGCTGGCTCATACTGGTGTGTACTGGTGTATACTGGTGCATACTGGTGCACTGGGGCTGTTGGGGCCACCCTTGTGTGCCTGGAGGAGTGTCCAGGGGTCCCCTGGCAGATGTGTGGCCTGTGGATGGGGTACAGTGCTGTGGCCCCCCCAGATTGTCCCAGCGTGACCCGGGGAGATGCCGGTGGTGACGTTCGGGCTCCCGCCCCGCTCACGGCCCCCCGGTGTCACCCCAGACAAGCAGCACGAGGTGGAGATCCCCTCGGCACTGGCCAAGGACAAGGAGAAGGAGCGGAGGAAGCGCCCCATGTCGCAGATCAGCGGCGTCAGGAAGCTCAAGCACGGCTCCAGCCTGGCCGCCGCCGGCATCCCCCGTTTCGGGGTGCGCACGGACCACGAGGCGCTGCTGGCCAAGGTGGGTCCTGCAGGGGTGACCCCCCCAGAGCGCGGGGTCCCCAACGCCACCCCCCCCATGGATCTCTGTCCCTCTGCTCCCCAGGAGCTGGAGGACACCAACAAGTGGGGTCTCGACGTGTTCAAAGTGGCCGAGTACTCGGGGAACCGCCCGCTGACCGTCATCATGTACAGCATCTTCCAGGTGAGCGTCCCACCGCGGGTCCCTGTGCCGGTGGCCGGGCGGGGACGAGCCACCTCCCGCCTCCCCGCAGGAGCGGGACCTGATGAAGACCTTCCGCATCCCCGTCAACACCTTCATCACCTACATGCTGACGCTGGAGGACCACTACCACGCCGACGTGGCCTACCACAACAGCCTGCACGCCGCCGACGTGGCGCAGTCCACGCACGTCCTGCTCTCCACGCCCGCGCTGGAGGTGATTCCCGCTCAGCCCAGGCCAGCCAGGAGCGCCTGGCGGGGCCCTAACGCGTCCCCAACGCCTCTTCCCGCCGTTCCTAGGCTGTCTTCACGGACCTGGAGATCATGGCTGCCATCTTTGCCAGCGCCATCCATGATGTCGACCACCCCGGGGTCTCCAACCAGTTCCTCATCAACACCAGTGAGACGGGCTGCAGGGATGGACCTGGGGGATACTGGGGGACCCCAGGAGTCACCCAGGGGTGACCAGTGCCGTCTCACAGACTCAGAACTGGCCCTGATGTACAACGACGCCTCGGTGCTGGAGAACCACCACCTGGCCGTGGGCTTCAAGCTCCTCCAGGAGGAGAACTGCGACATCTTCCAGAACCTGAGCAGGAAGCAGAGGCAGACGCTCCGTAAAATGGTCATCGACATGGTATGGGGGGGGCTGGAGCGCCCCAGGGTGGGGTCTGCGCTGGGGGGTCAGGCTGAGACCCGTTCCCACCTCTCCCTGCCCAGGTGTTAGCCACGGACATGTCCAAGCACATGAACCTGCTGGCGGACCTGAAGACCATGGTGGAGACCAAGAAGGTGACCAGCCTGGGGGTGCTGCTGCTGGACAACTACTCCGACCGGATCCAGGTGGGGACGCACCTGGGGAATCCTTCCTCGCTCTGGCCTGCTGGGATTTGGTGCCACCACCACCCCAGACCCAACCGGGGGGCCAAGCGAGTTGGTGGCACGGCGTGGGTGGCGCTGGGGGACAGAGGACACAGCGTCCACGCCCGCAGGTCCTGCAGAACATGGTGCACTGCGCCGACCTCAGCAACCCCACCAAGCCCCTGGAGCTGTACCGGCAGTGGACCGACCGTATCATGGTGGAGTTCTTCCGCCAAGGAGACCGGGAGCGGGAGAAGGGCATGGAGATCAGCCCCATGTGCGACAAGCACACCGCCTCCGTGGAGAAGTCCCAGGTGGGGCGGCAGCCTGGGCACGGGGCAGGGGACGCAGGGCCGGGCGGGGGGCTCAGCTCTGCGTCCCCCCAGGTGGGATTCATCGACTTCATCGCCCACCCGCTGTGGGAGACCTGGGCCGACCTGGTGCACCCCGACGCGCAGGAGCTGCTGGACACGCTGGAGGACAACCGGGAGTGGTACCAGAGCATGATCCCGCGCAGCCCCTCGCCCCCGCCCGAGCCGCCCGCGCCGTCCCCCGCCACCACCGACAAGTTCCAGTTCCAGCTGGCGCTGCAGGAGGAGGAGGAGGAGGAGGGTGAGTCGGACACGGAGCCGGAGGGGGCCGAGAGCCCCTTGGAGGAGGACAACAGCGGCTCCAAGACACCGGGCACGGATGACTCGGAGCCTGCCGACGCCAAGCGCCCGTCACCCGGCCCCGGGGACCGGGACTCGCCTGTCCCCCGCCCCAGGGACGTGGACAACCGGCAGGCGCTGGAGGGGACGCTGCCCAAGGACGGTGGCAGCGGGCGCTCGGTGCCAGGGCCCGAGGGCAGCCAGGGGCTGTGCCTGGACACAGAGGGCAACGTCACATTCCTGTCCCTGGGCACGTAGCGCCACCGGCCCGGGGGTCCCCTGGCTGCTGGGGGGACGTGGGACTGGGCACGGCCCTGAGCGGCGCTGGGGACAGCGGGGAGCTGGCACTGGGCAGCACTGGCACCGCAGGAGCTCGGAGGCACCCAGGATGTGTCCCCGTTCGGGACCTGCGCAGGTCCTGACAGGTAGGAGGACGCTGCTGGTCTCCCCGGGAAAGGTCCCTGTCCCCTTCAGACAGGGCGTGGGGACACCCCAGCCCTGGGGACATCACAGCCCAGGGGCTGCAGCAAGGAGCATTCCAGCACCTTTCCGGGTGTCCCCTTGCAGGAGGGCAGCCCCATGGTGGGACGAGGTGGGCAGAAGGTGCTGGTGACACCCCCAGCACCAGCACACGGCACAGGCACAGCTCAGAGCTTTATTTATTTGGGGATAGGTTCACTTTTTAAAGCCTTTTGTAGCTCACTTTTTACTACGGGCCTCCCCGAGGCACACACGCATTTTTTGGGGGCGGAAAGATGCATTTTTTGGGGAGAAAACTTGCATTTCTGCTCTGCGATCGCTCCAAACGCCATTTGCATTTCACATGTGGGACCCTGGCGGGCACTGTCACCACCCCCCCACCTCCATCTCCACCTGGGGCAGGGTCCTTTGGGATTCTTCTTCACCTCCCAGAGATTAAACCCGGTTTGTTCCACCCTAAACATGAGCCTCCTAAGCGCCTCTGTGTGTCACGGGAGCCGCAGCCGATGTCCCCAGGGGCCGGTTCGGTGGTTGGTGGCACCGGGCAGGGCCAGGCTGTGTGCTGGAACAAAAGCCAGCTCCTCCCTGGAAACGCAGATCCAGCACTGGCAAACACGACCTGCCAAGGTAAATATTTAATTGCCGGCTTGGCGCGGTGCGGAGCCTGTTCCTGCCTCTTCCGCATTGCTCCCCACGGTGATTGCTCCCCACAAACACGTCCCCACCCATGGCACTGCCCTGGCACTGGGGCCCTCGCCCCCTGCCCGCCCTGGCAGCAGCAGGGCCTCGGAGCTGCCGGTTCTTCCCCAGCCCAGCCCTTCTCCAGGTTCTGCCCGGCGTGGCGGTGGCTCCGTGCCATCCCTGCTGGGTGCCGATGTCCCCCTGTCTGTCCAGAGGCTCTGTGCTCTCAAATTCCCCGAATCCAGATCCAGCCCAACTCTGCCAGGCTGGAGTGGGGCAGGTGGAAAAAGCCCTTTTTCCCCCCATTTCTGGCTGAGGGGCTGTGGCCTGGGGAAGGTGATGGAAAATGGCCACAGCAGCCTGGCTCTGTCCCTAATTCTGGCTCCATCCTACAGCTGGATCCACCCCGAATTCTGGATCCATCCCTAATTCTGGATCCATCCCTAATTCTGGATCCGTCCTATAGCTGGATCCACCCCTAATTCTGGATCCATCCCTGAGCCAGGATCCAACCCTGAGTCTGGATCTATCCCTAATTCTGGCTCCATCCTACAGCTGGATCTATCCCTAATTCTGGATCCATCCCTAATTCTGGCTCCATTCCTAATTCTGGATCTGTCCTATAGCTGGACCCTCCCCGATTCTGGCTCCATCCCTGAGCCTGCATGCATCCTTAATTCTGGCTCCATCCCCAGTTCTGGCTCCATCCCTGCCCCCGTGCCCATCCCCGTGTCCGGCTCGGTGCAGGGCCAGAGGCTCCGGGCGGGGCCGGGCGGGGCCGGGCAGGGCCGGGCGGTGCCGGGCAGGGCCGGTCCGTGCCGTGCCCCGGGGCCGCCATATGCTGCCGGGCCTAATCCCGCCGGAGCCTCAGGGCGATGGAGGACATGGCCGCCCACCTGCGCAGCGGCCCCGCCTCAGCGCCAGCCGCCCTGTCACGGCAAGGATCAGCCCGCCCGCGGCTGCCGGCCTAGGGGAAGGCGTCGCGATAGCGCGCCATGTCGCGACAGGGAGGCTGTCAAAACTCGCCCCCCCCCCTTGAGCGGGAATGGTTCGCCCCACATCCCCGCCGGCGCAGGGGTGGTTCATCCCGCGCCCCTCGCAGCGCGCCCGGACCGCACCACTGCGCGCTGCCGGAGGAGGGGGCGGCGCCCACCACCGCGCCGGGAGGGGGGGTCTCCTCCCCCGCGTCCGCCCGCTGTCCATCAAAGCGCGCCGCCGAGCCAATCAGCGCCTCCCTCAGGGGCGCGCCCATGACGTCCGAGCTGATTTACATAAGAGAGCCACGCCCCTCTGCCGACGTCACCCGCGCTCCGCATCTGCTGCAGTCGCTGCGGGGAGGAGGCGGCGGCGCGAGCGCGGCAGAGGTGAGACCCCCCCCCACCCCATCCCCCAACCGGGACCCCCCCCCGGGACCCCCCCCGGGACCCCCCCACAGCGACAGCCCCGCAGGGCTCCCCCGAACCCCCTCCGTGACCCCCGGCACCGGGAGGGGAGGAGGGGGGGGGGGGGGTGATGATGATGATGATGATGATGATGATGGATGCGGCACGGGGGGGCTGCGCAGGGACCGAGTGGGTGCAGAGGGATCGGGCCTGCGGGGAGGAGCAGGGGGTGACCCCCCCCTCCCCATCAGCCCCGTGTGCACCTCGTGTCAGCACCCTGATCCCCCCATCAGCACCCTGACTCCCCTTATCAGCACCCTGATCCCCCCCATCAGCACCCTGACTCCCCCCATCAGCACCCTGACCCTCCCCATGAGCACCTTGACCCCCCTTATCAGCACCCTGACCCCCCCTATGAGCACCCTGACCCCCCCTATGAGCACCCTGATCCCCCCTATCGGCACCCTGACCCCCCTTATCAGCACCCTGACCCCCCCTATGAGCACCCTGACCCCTCCTATGAACACCCTGACCCCCCCTATGGACACCCTGACCCCCCTTATCAGCACCCGGACCCCCCTTATCAGCACCCTGAGCCCCTCTATCAGCACCCTGACCCCCCTCCTCGCAGCACTCTGCCCCCCCACCCCACAATCAGCACCCTGTGCACCCCGCTATCAGCACCCTGAACCCCTTCCTTGCATCACTGCACCTCCTCCCCAAACATCAGCACCCCAAAACCCTCATCAGCACCCTGCACCCCCTCCACGTGCCCCCAGCATCCCTGTGCTCCACCCTGGGCGAGCTGGGCTCTGTGCCCCCTTGTTTGGCATCGCCCTCCCCACGGTGTGCCCGGTGACACCCCCGGTGCCCGGTGACACCCCCGGCTCCTCGCTGGCCACGCCGTGCGGGGGCTCCGCTGCCGGTGCCATTTTGTCACCGGGAAGATGCGGGAGAGGCTGCGGCGCCTCGGCCGCACCCGCAACGCCGCGGTGGATCCCGGGAGCCACGGCAGATCCTGATCCCGGGAGCCACGGCAAATCCTGATCCCGGGAGCCGTGGCAGATCCCGATCCCAGGAGCCATGGCAGATCCTGATCCCGGGAGCCACAACAGATCCCGATCCTGGGAGCCGCAGCGGATCCCGATCCCGGGAGCCACAGCAGATCCCGGGAGCACGGCGGATCCCGGGAGCCACGGCGGATCCCGGGAGCACGGCGGATCCCGGGAGCCACGGCGGATCCCGGGAGCCACGGCAGATCCCGGGAGCCGCAGCAGATCCTGGTGGCCGTGGCAAATTCCCGGCAGCCGTGGCAAATCCCGGGAGCCGCAGCAAATCTCTGGGGCCACGGCAAACCCCGCGGGCCGCGTGCCCCACATTTGCTGTGGACACGCTATGGTTCCTGCTCGGGGGGTGACGGTGACGGGAGGTGGCCTCTGTGAGCCCCTCAGGGCTGAGTGACCCACTGGTGGCCACGCCGTGACCCATCCTGAACCAAAACCTCCCCGAAGTGGGGCCTGGCACCGCCGCCGGCCCCGTCACGGCCTCTCCTCCGCCTTGCAGATGGCGTCCGCTACCGACTCCCGCTACGGGCAGAAGGAATCCTCGGACCAGAACTTCGATTACATGTTCAAGATCCTGATCATCGGCAACAGCAGCGTGGGGAAAACCTCCTTCCTGTTCCGGTACGCCGACGACTCCTTCACGCCCGCCTTCGTCAGCACCGTCGGCATCGACTTCAAGGTCAAGACCATCTACCGGAACGACAAACGCATCAAGCTGCAGATCTGGGTGAGGAGAGAGAGCCGGGGGTACCCCGGAGCCCTGGGGTGGGGTGGGGTGATGGTGGGGGTGAGGGTCAGTGAGGGGTGATGGTCAGTGAGGGGTGGTGGTCAGTGTGAGGTGGTGGTGTGGGGGCTGATGGTCACTGTGGGCTGACAGTTACTGTGGGCTCACGGTCACTCTGGGCTGACGGTCACTGTGAGCTGACGGTCACTCTGGGCTGATGGTCACTGTGAGCTGATGGTCACTCTGGGGCTGATGGTCACTGTGGACTGACGGTCACTCTGGGCTGATGGTCACTGTGAGCTGATGGTCACTCTGGTCTGACGGTCACTGTGAGCTGATGGTCACTCTGGCCTGATGGTCACTGTGAGCTGATGGTCACTGTGAGCTGACGGTCACTGTGAGCTGACGGTCACTCTGGGCTGACGGTCACTGTGAGCTGATGGTCACTCTGGCCTGATGGTCACTCTGGCCTGATGGTCACTCTGGGCTTATGGTCACTGTGAGCTGACGGTCACTCTGGGGTGATGATGGTCACTCTGGGGCTGATGGTCACTCAGGGGTAATGCTCACCTGGGTGATGATGGTCACTGTGGAGCTGCCCCCACCAGGGCGATTCCAAGGTGGGGGGCTGGATCTGCCCCCACGGCCCCGCTGGCCCCCGGGGGTGTCCCCACGGCCCGGGGGTGACACTCTGCTGTCCCCTGTCCCCGGGCAGGACACGGCCGGGCAGGAGCGGTACCGCACCATCACCACCGCCTACTACCGCGGGGCCATGGGCTTCATCCTCATGTACGACATCACCAACGAGGAGTCCTTCAACGCCGTGCAGGACTGGTGAGCGCCAGGGGGGCTCTGGGCACCCCACGCCGCCCCAGCCGCCCCCTCCCCACAATTCTGACCCCCCTCATCTCCCTCCCCCAAGGTCCACCCAGATCAAGACCTACTCCTGGGACAACGCCCAGGTGCTGCTGGTGGGGAACAAGTGTGACATGGAGGACGAGCGCGTGGTCTCCTTGGAGAAGGGCCGCCAGCTCGCCGAGCACCTGGGTGAGTTGGGGAGGGGGAACCTCCCACCGCGGCTGCCAGCCCGCGATTAATTTAATTAAGGGCTTAATTCCCTCCGTGTAATCGCTCCACTCCGACATCGGCGGTGACTTGGCGCCCGGTGAGAAACCACAGAGTCGCTGCACACCCTGGACTCTCTGCCGGATGCTGGGGGGAGGATTTGGGGGGTTTTCTGTGTGGGAAAAACGGGATTTCATGGCTGGCAGGTCCCAAACCCTTTGAATATTGAACGAGGAGCAGCAGCAGCCGTGCGAGGCCGGACGTGGGGTCGCAGCTTTGACGTGTGCGTGTCCCTTGTCCCTCTGTCCCCCTCCACGTTGTCCCCCCCTCCCACTCCCCAAATCCAGGCTTTGAGTTTTTCGAGGCCAGCGCCAAGGACAACATCAACGTGAAGCAGACCTTCGAGCGGCTGGTGGACATCATCTGCGAGAAGATGTCGGAGTCGCTGGACACGGCCGACCCCGCCGTCACTGGCGCCAAGCAGGGCCCCCAGCTCACGGACCAGCAGGCCCCCCCCCACCAGGACTGTGCCTGCTAGGGGCCAGCCCCCCCAAAATTCCCCCAAAAAACCGGTCAGTGCACCCCAAGCCCCCTCACCCCAGCTCCGCCCCGAGCTCCTCCTCTTGGGGGTCCCGCGGGGGCTTTTGCTGCTGATACCTCCGAAAGGGCTGCGGCCCCTCTAGGAGCCCCCCACCCCAATTCATTAGGCTATGCCCCCCCACCCCTTAATTTATTTTTAAGCCTGGGCTGGTAGAAAACTCCCCCCACCCCTGCCCCACCTCATTCTGCTTTTAATCACTGTCGAGAAACCATCACCCCCACCCCATTCCCCTGGTGACCCCCACCCTGTCCTGGCACCCCCTGCCCTGGAGACCCCCCCTGTCCTGAGACCCCTGCCCTGGAGACCCCCTGCCCTTTTTCCTGCTCTGTCCTGGGACCCCCACCCTTTTTCCAGCCCTGGGACGCCCTGTCCTGTTATCCCTGTCCTGGTACCCCCTATCCTGGGACCTCCCCACCCTTTTTCCTGTTCTGGTCTCCCCCCACCCTGCTCTGGGACCCCCTGTCCTGGGACCCCCACCCCTTTTTCCTGGTCTGGGGTCTCCCCTGCCCTGGTCCCCCCCTACTCTGGGACCCCCTGTCCTCTTATCCCTGTCCTGGGACCCCCACCCCTTTTCCTGCTCTGGAACCCCCTGTCCTGGGACCCCCCCACCCCTTTTCCTGCTCTGGAACCCCCTGTCCTGGGGATCCCCCTGCCCTGGGACCCCCTTCCCAGTGTGTGGGTGCTGTGACAGGACCCCCCCAAATCCCCCCAGCCTTTTCCCCGAGCTCCTGGTGCAGGGGTCTCTCCGTGCCCGGCTTTCCTGCCCCTCCAGCTGGATGGATATTTCCTGACTCTTGTTTATTTGTATAAATAGATGCTAATTTATGCTCCCGCCGTCTTCCTCCTTGTACATACAGAAATTCCTTGTAAATAGGCGTAGGAAGTGACGCTGTGCGCGTGACCTGCTGTGCTGTGGCCGTGGTGGTGCATTTATATACATATATATATATATATTCTGATTTTTTTTTTTTGTTTCTCTCGGTGTGATAACCTTGCTTGTGAATATCACATTAAAAAAAAAAAAAACACAAAAAAAACCCCCCAAAAAACAAAAACCCACCCCCACCCCCACAACCAAACGACAACAAAGCTGTTATTATTGAAATAAGATTTAAAATGAGAAATTGATTCGATCCATCAGCGAGGCCGAGCCAACTGGAGCGAATCGGCCCCGGGGTGGGCTCGTGGGGGGTGAGCAGGGTTAGATCGTGGCTGCTTTGCTCCAGGGATTTGGGATCTCGTGTTCCTGTAGTTCTGTGCTTCTGTGGAGACTGTGAATAAGTGGATATTCCCGTAGCCATGACAGAGCTGCCCTTTTATTTATTTTTCCTGGAGCGCTGTGTCTTTATTTTACAGATTTCCCTCTATTTCCTCCCCTCCCAACCATGATTCCATCTCCTTCCCTCCCCTTTCCCCCCCCCCTCCTCTTTTTTGTGAAGTTTACTTATGGAAGAGTTACACTGTACTGTACAAATGTCAAAAGTGTCAAAAAAAAAAAAGAGTACAATTTCCTAAAAATCACTGTATTAAAAGAAATGTTGTGAAGAAATAAACCAATGCTGATCAGAAGTTCCTCGGGGTCCCTGAGTTGCCAGAGAGGAGCAAAATTAATTGGAATTTTTAAATTATCATCCCCCAAATGGCTCCCTGCTGCTGCCCCGGGTGTGTGGCAGCAGGGACCAGGGCACAGCATTAAGGCACAGCTTTAAAAATCAAGGGAAAAAAAAAAAAAAATCCCATTCAGGCAATTTTCCTTGCCACTGGCAATAATTCACTTCTTGGGCTTATGCAGGGAGCATCCAGCTTGCCCAGGGCTGGGAGCAGAGGGATGTGATGGCCCAAAATCTGCCAAAATTTGGCTCCAACCCCCCCCTCCTGCCGCAGAGCCGGCGGGCGCAATCTCATCCCTATTTATAGAGGATCCAGGTGGCTGCAGCCCCCGCCCGCAGCCGGGGGAGCTGAGGCAGCTCGGGGGAAATGATTTTATCCCTGAGCTGGAGGAGAAAAAGCAGCAGGGGAAGGAGTGAGGAGCTGCAGGGAGAGCAGAGGGGCAGCCAGAGCGGAGCACGGAGCGGGTTTGGCTTGGAATGACCTTCAATCCCATCCCATCCCACCCCTGCCATGGCAGGGACACCTTAAACTGCCCCTGGACACTTCCAGGGATCCAGAGGCAGCCACAGCTGCTCCGGGAGTTCCATCCCAGGGCCTCCCCACCCTCACGGGGAAGAATTCCTTCCCAAAATCTCCGTGCTGGGGATCCAGGTGAACGGAAGGTGCTGGAGCAGCAAGGGACTGGTTTGCTCTGGAGAGGGAACAAATCCAGCCAGGACCTTTCCCAGGGGCTGCAGCAGCTCCTCCTCACCAAGAAATCACTTCAGAGGTTCTCCTGCAACAAGAGGTTCTTACGACCCCAGCTCATCTGTAATTAGCAGATGAGTTAATCAGCGGCAGGTGCTGGGTCTGGCTGGGGTGCTCCAGGATGCCCAGAAATCCAGGATGCCCGGAAAGGTTTGATGCCCAGAAATCCAGGATGCCCAGAAATCCAGGATGCCCAGAACCCGTCTGGCAGGATCCTCTGGAGCCCCGTCCCTCTCTAGGCGCTGGCGCTGCGCGGCTGCAAAACACCGAGGGGAGCCTGGGATGAGCCTGGCACTGCTGCAGGAGCAGGGATCATCCACCCCGAATCCTGCAGGAGCAGGGAGCATCCACTGTGAATTCCAGGAATTCTGTGATTCTGTGATTGTGTGAATTCTGTGATACGTGTGAATTTTGTGACTGATTCTGTGATTGTGTGAATTCTGTGAATTGTGTGAATTCTGTGAATTGTGTGAATTGTGTGATTCACCTGAATTCTGTGATTGTGTGATTCTGTGAATTGTGTGGATTCTGTGATTGTGTGAATTCTGTGATTGTGTGGATTCTGTGAATTCCGTGAATTGTGTGAATTCTGTGATTCATGTGAATTCTGTGATTGTGTGATTCCATGATTGTGTGAATTCTGTGATTGTGTGAATTGTGTGGATTCTGTGATTCACGTGAATTCTGTGATTGTGTGGATTCTGTGGATTCCGTGAATTGTGTGATTGTGTGAATTGTGTGAATTCTGTGATTGTGTGAATTCTGTGATTCATGTGAATTCTGTGATTCTGTGAATTGTGTGAATTCTGTGATTGTGTGAATTCTGTGAATTCTGTGATTGTGTGGATTCAGTGGATTCCGTGGATTCCCGGGGCAGGTGGGGCTCGGGGCGGGGCTCGGGGCGGGGCTCACCCGGTGTTTGAGGTAGGACAGGTAGGTGTCCCAGCCCAGGGTCACCACGTTGACGTAAAACACGCGGTAGGCGGGCGGCACGAAGAGGAAATTGAGGATCTGCGCCGCCGGCCACACGCTCCAGTCGGCCTGGGGAGGAACAGGGGGCAGCTGGGACACCCCAGAGGGGCTCACCTTGTAAAAACTCCCCAAATTTCTCCTTCACTGCGGCTTCCCCGCTCCCAGGGCACCCCAGAGGGGCTCACCTTGTACAGTTCCCAAAATTTCTCCTTCACTGGGGGTTCCCTGCTCCCAGGGCACCCCAGAGGGGCTCACCTTGTACAGTTCCCAAAATTTCTCCTTCACTGGGACTTCCCTGCTCCCAGGGCATCCCAGAGGGGCTCACCTTGTACAATTCCCAAAATTTCTCCTTCAGCTCGTCCCAGCTCTCCTGCAGAGTCTGGCCCTCCAGGGTGCCGCTGGCTGTGGGGACAGGAGGGGTCAGGAGGGGTCAGTGGGGATCGCTCCAGGCTGGGAATTGGGGTGGGAATTGTTGGGACAGGCTCCAAACCCCTCCCAGAGGGATGGAGTTCTGGGAAATGGGAAGGAACGTGAAAGGGAAGGTCTGGGGAATGGCTGGGGGTGTGCCAGGGGGTGGGATGGAGATCAGGGAAAGTTCAGGGATTTGGGATGGAGAACACAGAAAGGTTCTGGGATTTGGGATGAAGATCAGGGAGAGGTTCTGGGATTTGGGATGGAGATGAGGGAAAGGTTCTGGGGTTTGGGATGGAGATCAGGGAAATGTTTTGGGATTTGGGATGGAGAACAAAGAAAGGTTCTGGGATTTGGGATGGAGATCAGGGATTTGGGATGGAGATCAGGGAAAGGTTCTGGGATTGGGGATGGAGATCAGGGAAAGGTTCTGGGACTGGGGATGGAGATCAGGGAAAGGTTCTGTGATTTGGGATGGAGACCAGGAAAAGGTTCCTCCCCCTGAGGGTGCCAGGCACTGAATCCCCCAGGGAACAGCCCCAGCCCCAGCCCTGCAGTGCTGCCTTTTGCCACACTAACCCTGAGGAGAACCTGCCAACGCTGCCCGCGAGGCTCCGAGCGCCCCAACCCTGCCCCGACCCTGCCCAAACACCCACCCCAAACCCCGGCACCAGCAGCAGCTCTGGCTGGGCTCCGGTGCCACGTACCCACGAAGTACCAGGCCCCCAGGCTGGGCGAGGCCACCAGCTGGTCCAGCAGCACCTTCTTCAGCACCGTCCTGAGGCAGCGCGCGCCGCGGGCGGGGAACGCCGCGTCCAGCCACAGGTACCAGAAATGCATCGGCGGCCCCAGGCTGCAGCCCACCACGAACATCCGCCCTGCAACGGCAGCACGGGGGGTTTGGGCAGGGGGTTCCTCCCCGGGAGGGAGGGGATGGATTCCCACGGCAGCTGTGGCTGCCCAAGGCAGGGCTGGGTGCTGTTACCCTGATTTTGTAAAAATCAGGCTGCCCTTATTTGAAAAGTTGTTTCCTTTTATAATTATTTTTAAAGTTTTAAAGGTCTTTTACAAGTTTTCTATGCCTTCTGGTGCTTATATATTTCCACTGAAGCTTTCACTCAAATGAGATATAAATAGTGTAAATAATTATTCTTTTACCCTGATTTTTAAGTGTTTTCTTTTACAAGTTTTCTACGTCTTCCAATGTTTACGTATTTCTACTGGAGGTCTCACTCAAATGAGATGTAAATAGTGTAAATAATGATTCTTTTACCCTGATTTTTAAGTGTGTTTTCTTTTACAATTATTTAAAAAGTTTTAAAGTTATTTTACAAGTTTTCTATGCCTTCTGATCTTTACGTATTTCTACTGCAGCTCTCACTCAAATGAGATATAAATAGTGTAATTAATGTAAACAATGATTCTTTTACATTCACATAAATGATTTTTTTACGTTCTTCTTTGTAAGAAGAGAAAATTCATGAACTGTTGGTTTTAGTTAGAGAGGCGACAATTCCACCCTCCAATCTGCTGCCACTCTTACAACCCTACACATCACCAAGTCAAAAATGAAATTTCCTCTCTGGAACTCACTGAGCTTCTGTGCACAGTGACAGGGTGGGGTTTGGGTGCTGTGGGGTGTCTGTGGGGTTTGGGTGCTGCAGGGTGTCCCTGTCCTGGGGTTTGGGTGCTGCAGGGTGTCTGTGGGGTTTGGGTGCTGCAGGGTTTGGGTGCTGTGGGGTGTCTCTGGTGTTTGGGTGCTGCAGGGTTTGGGTGCTGTGGGGTGTCTGTGGGGTTTGGGTGCTGCAGGGTGAGGCTGCTGCAGGGTGTCCCTGCCATCCCCCGTGCCATCCCCCCGTGCCATCCCTCCCATCCCGGTGCTCACCGGTGCGCGCGGGCTGCACGGGGCTCTCGGGGTGCCGGTGGCGGTGCCAGCGCTGCTGCAGGCTGTCCCCCGCCGCCAGGAGCCCCCCGCAGCTCAGGGTGTTGGTGAGGAGCAGCAGCCGGCCCGAGAACAGCGAGCGCCAGGAGCGCCGCAGCATCCTGCGCCACGGCACGGCACCGGGACCGGCACCGGTGGGTCACTGCGGGGACACGGCTGGGACAGAGCCCCCAGTTACCCCAGTGCCCCCCAGTTCAGTCACTGCAGGGACAAGGCTCCCAGTGCCCCCCAGTTACCCCAGGACCCCCAGTGCCCCCCAGTTCAGTTCCAGTCACTGCAGGGACAGAGCTGCCCCAGTGCCACCCCAGTTCCCCGAGTCTGGCTCCCTGTGCCCCCCCAGTTCTCCCAGTCTGGTCCCGGGTACCCTCCCAGTTCCCCCAGTTCTCCCCTCTGCATCTCCCAGTTGCTTCTGCCGTACCCTCCCAGTGCCCCCAGTGCTCCTGCCGTGCCCCCCAGTGCCCCCAGACCCCTCTGCCATCGCCCCCAGTGCCCCCAGACCCCTCTGCCATCGCCCCCAGTGCCCCCAGACCCCTCTGCCATCGCCCCCAGACCCCTCTGCCATCGCCCCCAGTGCCCCCGTCCCGACCCCCTGCGCGCTCCCCGTTATCTCTGTGTCCCTCCACTCCCCCCGCTGGGTCCCCAGCGCCCCTTCCCGGTCACCACCCGGTTCCCGGTGCCTCCGGTGCCCCTCAGGTTCCCCCCCCGCCCCTACCGGGCGCTACCGCCGCCCGGACGCGGAACCGGCGAGCACCACGTGACAGCAGCGACTTCCGCTTCCTGCGCCGCCATGACACCTACAGGGGCACGGGGGCCGCCATGACACCTACGGGGGCACAGGAGGCCGCCATGACACCTACGGGGGCCGCCATGACACCTACAGGGGCCGCCATGACACCTACAGGGGCAGCACTGGCCCAGGGGCTCATGGTGAGGCGAGCTGGGCATGGCCCAGGGGATCCCCGCGGTGCCCCAGCCCTGCCCTGTGCCCGACACCCGGTCTGGGGGCAGCAGAGGGGCTGGGGAGCCCTGGGTGCTGGGATATCCCCGTGGTGGTGGCCATGACGAGCGGCAGCAGCGCTGTCGGGGCTGGCACCGCCGCTCTCCTCACTCTGCTGCTGCCACTGGGGTCCCTCAGGTGTGGGGAGACCCTCCAGGCTGTGCCCAGAGCTTTCAGGATTCCTTGAGAGGCTTCTCTTCGGAGCTGGAACATCGAGCCCACGTCACCTCGGTTGTGGGGGGCAGCGGAAGGGCTGGGGGGACGCTGGTGCTGCTCGTCCTGGGGGTTTGTCACTCCCGAGGACATCCTGAGGGAACTGAGGCTTCTTCCTCAGCCATGTGGGGCAGACCTGGCTGGGAACTGCAGGCAGAGATCCCCTCACCAACAGCTGTTTGTCTGCCAGGGGCAGGAAGGCACAAAACTCACCAGGTTCTAAAAACATCAGCTTTATTCCCACTGCCAGGAGCCCTGCTCCTCCTCCGAGCCCATCCAGACTCCTCCTGACGCCCGGGGACAGCGCCAGGCCAGCCCTACCTGTAGGAATTGGCCTTGTGTTTTGGCAGGAAGGTGAAGCTGGGCGGGACGGGGCCCAGGAGCAGCTCACTGGGAGAAAGAACCGATCCTAGAATTAATCCAGAGACCTCAAATCCCCTCCAGTGCCACCCCAGCCGTGGGCAGGGACACCCCCCACTAGCCCAGGCTGCTCCCAGCCCTGTCCGGGCACTTCCAGGGAGGAAAAACAACAAAACCAAGCCCAGGGAGGGGTCAGTGTTCAATCCCCACCTGTCCGACGGCCCTGTGGCCCTACAGGGGCTCTGCCACGTCCCTTTTTAGCAACTGAAACGAAATTTGATGCTTCACTACCTTATTTTGATCCAATCATCCATGTTTTGGCTGGCCATGAGGGTCTCCAGGTAATCCCTGCCCAGGTAATAGGGCGGCCGCTCGTTGATTTTCTGAGGTAGATGCTCCAATAACCCGACTGGAATGTACCTGGAACAAAATGAAAAGCAACAGCAGTGAGAGCTAGGGATTCATAAATGACTGTTCAGAGATCCTCCTGCCTGGGCAGCAGTACCTGCACAGGAAGGAGAGCCATTCCAGCAGGAATTTCCTGGTTTTCTCCACTCCCTGAGTGTCTGAGCCCCAGTGCTCCAGGCCGTAGTTGGTGAAGTCCTTGAGGATCTCAAATCTCTCGCTGGAGGAGATATCCCAGTGTCTCTGCTCCTTGATTTCCGTGAAAAGCCAGGGTTTGATGAGCGCCCCTCTGCAGCCAAAACAAAAAAAAAGGATTGTTATTCCCATCACTGATGCTCCTGAAGATTTGAGACACTTTCCAGCCCTGATTTCCCAGCCAGTTCTGTTTTAAATCTTCTTTTCCATTCCAACAAGAAGTTCCAACTGATACAAATTGATTTTACTAATTGTCAGAGTGGTTTCACCGAGAGGAAATTCCATGCTTTGGGGCTTGTTTGGGGATTTTTTAATCCTTTTTTTTTTTTTTTTTTTCCTCTTGAACCACCAGAGCTCAGGAGTGAAGGGAAACACAGGCACTTGCCTTGCAATCATGATTCCAGAAACTCCCATCTGCATGGCTCGATTTGCATCTTCATAGGACAAAATATCCCCATTTCCTGCCCGGAAAGGAGGGAGAAGCCAGAGGTCAAAGAGATCCGTGAGGACAAGTCAAAGTGAGCTAATCCAGGCATGGGATAAAATTCAAAATGGACACAACGTCCAAGAGCCAGATGGTCCAAAGAGGCTCCTGGTTTGGATTCCCAGGGATGTTTCTGATGGATGTTCCCTTACAAGGAAAAAAGGAGCCTTCTCCTCTTTTCTCCTTCGCTCTCTGCTGGTTTCCTTGAAGGTTTTGGGATTTTGTGCCACAAAATGCAAGAAAACCTCTTTAAAAGGGGGTTTAATCACCCCAAGCGATTCGTGTCCCTTCCCTCAGCAGCACCAGGGATGCTCCAGCCTTTCCCCCACGCTATGCTCCCTTGGCAACATTGGGAGCACGTTCTTTGCCCCATTTTGGGAGGATCTGAAGCAGGAGGAGCACAGAGGGAGCCCCACGTACCGAAGAGAGGCATGGGGCTGGCCAGGCGGGCGCACTCGGCGATGTAGTGCCAGTCTGCACTGCGGGTGTAGCGCTGCTCCCGGGAGCGCCCGTGCAGCTGCGGAGAGAGGCGGGACAGCGCTGCACGGCGGGGACAGGGACAGGGACAGGGACAGGGACAGGGACAGGGACGGGGACAGGGACACCTCGCTGCTCAGGAAGGGAGGGACAGGGAGCAGGGACACGAGGGTGGGGAAGGGAGCCTTGGGATTGGCCTTGGGATTGACCCTGGGATCAACTTCGGGATCTGTGGGTGCTGATGGAGCAGAGCTGGGTGAGGGATCCCTTGGGATGTACCACTGGATTTACAGAATTCACAGAACCACCAGGTTGGAAGAGACCTTAAAAGTCATCGAGTCCAACCCAGCCCAATCCCCTCAACTCAACCCTGGCACCCAGTGCCACATCCAGACTTTGTCAAACACACCCAGGGGTGGAGACACCACCACCTCCCCAGGAAAACCATTCCAATACTTTGTCACTCTTTCCTTAAAAAACTTTTGCCTAATATCCAACCTAAATTTCCCTTGGGGCAGCTCGAGGCTGTGTCCTCTGGTTCTGTCAGTTCCTGGAGAAAGAGCCCAGCCCCTTCCCAAACTGAGGGGCCCAGCACAGGACAGAAAGAACTGGATTTAGAGCCAGGGGTGCTGGCAGCAGGCTGAGGGAGGGCTGAGCAGAGCTGAAAGGGCTGGAGGCTTTTGGGGTGATATTTGGGCTATTTGTGAGCCAGAGGAAGAAGTGGCTCTCTGTAGGGAATGCACCATGGGCCAGAACTAATTCCCCATTCCCCACTCCTGCCTGGGGGAAACTCCTGCTCCAGAGCACTGCAGGAATTCCCCCATCCCTGGAATTGTCCGAGGACAGGCTGGGATAGTGGAAAGGGATGGGATTAACTTTAAGGTCCCTTCCCAAACCATCCTGGGATTCCATGCTCACGGACCCAAGGCTCGGGAGCGGGGAGGAAAACACCCCCTGCACCTGGATTTTCCTCTTTTATTGGCAGAGGACACGGAAAGGCGAGGGAAGCTCATCCCAAACTCATCTCCAGGCAGAACTCCCAACCCCAGAGATCCGGCCCCGTACCGTGACCATGGAGGCGCCCCACTCCCGGATCCTGGGGATGAGTTTGTGAGCCACGTTAACCTTTTCCTGCACCCCAGTGCGGATCTTCACTGTCACTGGGACATCCAGCACCTGCAGAGGTGGGAAGGTGAGGCCAGGCTGGACTGGGCTCCACCAGCTCAGCCTCAGGCGCTCCGACTCACCGAGTTCATCCCGCGGACGATCTGCTCGAACTTGTTGGAGCGGGTCATCAGAGCACAGCCTCCTCCCTGGGACAGAACATGGACCTCAGCACTTTGCTCGCAGAGTGGAGCGTCCTTGCAGCATCTCCAGGTTTGGAGAAAGCGGATCCTTCAGGCAAAAATTCTCCAGAGTGCTTTTCCCTCCCAAATCCCACCAGCTATTTCCTGCTCCTTATTCCCCTTCTCACTGAGATGATAAATGAACTGGGAGCTGTGGCTCAGACTGGAAAGAGCAATCAGGCAGCAGAGGATGAGGGTGAAGACAAGGATTCATGGAAGGAAAATGCACCACAGAACTTCTCACCTTCTTGTAGACCAGGTCAATGGGACACCCGACGTTGATGTCAACGAAGTCCACATCAATTGTCCTGTTCAGGAGCTCTGCACACTTGGTCATGGTGTCTGGAAAGGCTCCCTCCAGCTGCCAAAGGGAAAGAGCTTCCCTGAGCTTCCCTTGTCCCCTGGGAAGGGAGTTTCTGGAGGGTTGTGGGGTGCTAAGGCCCACCTGCACCCCGAAGATGTCCTCGGTGTGGTGGCGTTTGAGCAGAGCCCACTCGGAGGACTGGCCCTGGAGCAGGTTGGTGCACACAGCCATCTCCCCGCAGGTGACATCTGCTCCAAAACGTTTGCAGATCCGTCGGAAAGGGAGGTTTCCACACTGCAGGGACAGCGGGGACAGCGGGGACAGCGATTGTGACGAGATCTGCTCTGTTCCAACCCTGCCCACAGCGAGCTTTGGCACAAGGATGGAGTTCCCCACCTACCGTGGTCAGTGGAGCCAGGTAGAGCTTGCCTTGGATTTCCAGCTGGAAAACAGGGATGGAGGAGCAGCTCAGCAGAGCTGCAATGGTTTTTATGGCATCACAGAATGGTTTGGCTTGGAAAGGACCTTAAGGATCATCCAATTCCATGGCCTGGCCATGGGCAGTGACCCTTCCACTATCCCAGGGTGCTTCAAGCCCCGTCCAGCCTGGCCTTGGACACTTGCAGGGATGAGGCAGCCACAGCTGCTCTGGGAATTCCATCCCAGCCCCTCCCCACCCTCACAGGGAGGAGTTCCTTCCATATGTAAGAAATGCTCTGCCTGCCTCCCCCAGCTGAGGACTCTCCAAGGGGTTTCTCTTCCATCTTTCCATGCACAATCTCCACCACGGGACCAGGACACAAGGGACTCTCACCTTCTTCTTCTCGCACGGCCGCAGCTTCGTCACGTCTTCATCTGTCAGCGGGCCCAGGGTTGGGATGGAGGGAGCACCTTCAGCTCCTTGGGAGCTCTGCAGGACCTCAGGTCTGGGATGAACCTCCGCCTTTTGGGAGCTCTGCAGGGCCTCAGGTCTGAGAGCACCTTCAGCTCCCTGGGAGCTGTTCAGGACCTCAGGACTGGGAGCACCCTCAGCCCCTTGGGAACTCTGCAGGACCTCAGCTTTGGGATCACCCTCAGCCCCTTGTGAGTTCTGCAGGACCTCAGGGTTGGGAGCACCCTCAGCCTTTTGGGAGCTCTGCAGGGTCTCTGGTTTGGGATCTTCTCCCTGCTCCTGCAGCACAGGGCTGTCTCCCAGGCCCTCCTGGGGAGCAGAGCACTCGGCCACCTCAGCAGAGCCCCCTGTGGCTTTGCCTCCCTTCCCAGCACGGAGCCCACGGAGAAACTCCTCGGCCTTCTGGAAGCTGAACCTCCTCTTGCGCAGCTGCTGCTGGAGGTCCTTGGAGAGGCCGTTCCTCACCAGCAGCTTCCCTTCCCACTGCTGGGCCAGGGCGGCGTTGAGCAGGTTCTGGTGGCCCTCGCCGAGGTGGGCGCGGCCGAAGCGGCAGGTGACACCGTAGGGACAGCGGCCGAAGGTGTCGAAGAGGACGCAGCGCCCGCCCAGGTCGGCCGGTTTGGCCGCCAGGTACTCGGACACGTCGTGCAGGAAGCGGCAGCGCGGCCCGAAGCGGCACTGCCCGCCACAGCCCTGGGGACAGCACGGAGCAGGGCACGGTGGGCACGGCAGCACGGCCCCGAGCTGCTCTGAGCCTCACCTGAGATGCCCAGGTGAGGAGGGAGTGCCCCCAGGGTGTGCTGCACACCCTTGTGACACTCAGCTCATCCCTCGCCCCCCTCTCCCAGCTGGTTTTTATGGAATTCCAGATCGGTTTGGGTTGGAAAGGACTATAAATCCCATCCAGTCCCACCTGCAGGGACACCTCCCGCTGTCCCAGGCTGCTCCAGCCTTGCCTTGGGCACTTCCAGAGATCCAGGGGCAGCCAGAGCTGCTCTGGGCACCCTGTGCCAGGGCCTGCCCACCCTCCCAGGGAGGAATTCCTTCCCAAAATCCCACCTGACCCAGCCAGGGCAGGGCCCTGTGTCCCACCTGTGTCACCGAGGGGCACAGCCTGCTCTGCTCGTAGCTCTTGGGTTTCATGCACAGGCGGCTCTTGTTCTGCCCCCGGGCTCTCTTCTTCTCCGGGCGCTCCTCCTCCTCCTCCTCTCCAGCATCCCCTCGGCTTTCCCCATCCTGGCCGGGCTCCTCTGCCTTCACCCTCTTGGCTGGGGGTTCGCTGACCTGCTCCTCTTCCTCCTTCTCCTCCTTTTCCTCCTCTTCCTCCTTGCCCCCTGCCCGCAGGTAGGCGTGGAACTGCTCCTTGGAGATGAGGAACCTGCGGGGAAAGGGGGTGTCCGTGGAAAAGGGGGTCAGGAGGGGGGGTTATGGGGGTACCGGGGTGCAGGAGGGGCTGGGGATGGGCTGGGGGGGTCGTGGACAAGTTGGGAATAGACTAGGAGGATTCTGGAGGGGTCAGACACATACTGGGGGGGTCATGGAGGAACTGGGAATGTACTGGGGGGGTAATGGAGGAGCTGGGAATGGACTGGGAGGATTCTGGAGGGGTCAGACACATACTGGGGTGGTCATGGAGGAACTGGGAATGGACTGGGAGGATTCTGGAGGGGTCAGACATGTACTGGGGGGATCATGGAGGAGCTGGGAATGGACTGGGAGGATTCTGGAGGGGTCAGACATGTACTGGGGGGGTCACGGAGGAGCTGGGAATGGACTGGACGGGTCCTGGAGGGGTCAGTAATGTACCGAGGGGTTTATGAAGGGACCGGACACATACCAGAGAAGGCCATGAAGGGCCCGAGCCCGCTCGGGGGGGGTTACGGAGGGGTGGGGCAGGTCCCGGCGGGTCAGGGGGGGCCGGGGCCGCCATCCCGCACTCACCGGGCTCGAACCGGCGCCACGCCGGGCGCGGCTGCGGCCGCCATGCTGCCGCGCGCGGCGATGACGTCAGCGGTGGGCGGGGAGAGCACGTGACCGGGCGCGCCTTATAAAAGCGGCCGCCGGCGGCGCGGCCCCTCAGAGCGGCGGGAGCCGCGGCCGAGTACGGTGTGTTCGTTAAAGTCTTTGTGCGCTCTCCGAGGCTGATTCGGGGGCTCCCCACAGCCCCTCACGAGCCTCAGGGTTGCCCAAGCACGGAGAGAAGGCCGTCGTGCAGCCCTCGTCCCGGGGAGAGGTGTTGTCCCTTGTGGCAGCTCCTTCAGGCTTCCCTTTGGGGACACCTTTAGCTGTCCCAAAGACACTCTTTGGGCAGCTCCTTTGGGTGTGAGGGGGTCACAGCTGCTGCTGTGGTCTGGTCCCTGAGGGTGGGCATGGCTGGGAGGATCCCTGAGTTCAATTTAGAACTGAACAGCATCACATCAGCCAGACACACAAAGTGCTGCTTTGTCTTTCCTTCAATTCCTGTTTTTGGGGGTGTCTGGCTCTCCCGCTGCCTCACAGCTATCGGGGAGAGGATGGAGCTCTACAGCAATGTGGGGTGCTTGGAATGGTTTTTTTGTCATTTTAGGGTTATTTTTAGGCAGTGAAGGCAAGGACTGCCTGTGCAGCGCTAAGGGATGAGCCAGCTCTCACTCCTGAGCTGCCCTGGCCTTTGGTCCGTGGGTGGAAATTTGGGCTGACAACCAAACAAACACATCAAACACACCAGCTCTGACCTTTCCTCCCTCCCTCCCCTGCAGCTGCCACGTCTGCCCCGTGTTTGTGCCGCTCTTTGCCCCTCTCCTGCTCCCCAGCCCCTCCGAGCCCCGCGAGCGCGAGGAAGACGCTGCAGTGAGGGGGCTGATGTCTCACGGGTGACTATTTGGAGCCCTCCTGGATGGAGTTTCCTTTCCAGCTCCGTCATCTCCGCAGCCCCGTTTGACTCAACGCTTGGCTCAGCTGCTGAGAGGGTGAGAAAAGGCTGAAAAATCCAAGTGCAGCAAGACCTGCGCTCCATCTTTCCTGTCCCACGCCTTATGCTGAATCAAAACTGAATTTTTAGCTGGGTTCAAGCTGTCCGTGAGGCTGGACACCGGGTCAGCTCTGCTCTGTGCAGGCACTAACATGGAGACAGCTTAACACGTGGGTTTTGTCCTCATTTAGGAGCTGCTGGAAGCTCTGGAAGTGCCACTGCTTGTGGTGTTGGGGGATTACCACAACGCTGGGCACTGCAGAGCTGTGTGTGCACGTGGGGTGGAGGTGAAAGTGCACGTGGGGCTTGGATTCTGGAATTGTTGAATTGCTTGAATTGAACAATTCTTGGATTGTTTTCCTGTTTTAGCTCGGTTCTTTCCAGATGCTCCACCAGAAATGGCTCTTGGGAGGAGCTGGGAGCCCTGTGGGTGCTCCTGCTGCTGCCAAGGGTGGGCAGGTTGCACCATGAGGCCAGGCTGCTGTGGGAAGAGCTTGGGGCTGATTGGGTGTTAATTAGTTCTGGAGTGAAATATGAGGAATGCAAAATACTATTTTAAGCTTCAGCTTGGCCGGGGGAAGGAAGGAAGGAAGGAAACGAGGCTCTGGGGATGAATGAAGCGATTCCACTGCTGGTTTTTTGGGGCAATAAGCCTGAAGTCAGAGCTCTTTGGGCTGGCTGCAGCCAGCTGAGGTCAGACTTCGGCATCTAATCCCTGCTCAGGGTCTGGCTCGGCAGCTTTACGAGGCTGAGCCTTGGATGAGCTTCCCAACAAAGCTTTTCCCAGGCTGGACAGGGCTTGGAGCAACCTGGGCTAGTGGAAGATGTCCTTGGCCACTCAGGGGTGAGCTCTGAGGTCTCTTCCAACCCAAACCATTCCATGCTAGGTTTGGAGAGGTGCTGGCTCTTGTCTCCTTCATCTTTCCAGCCCTTCAGGTTGGAAGAGGAGCCAGGGGAACGAGGAGCTGGATAAATGTGGGGTGAACACAGAGCTTGGAAGGCCAGAGCTGTCACTCCCACATCCTCCAGCAGCTCCAGAGAAAACCAATCCCCACCAACTCACTGGGAAAGGCCAAGGCAGGAAAGAGGGAAAGGTTGATTACAGGAAAGTGGGATATAGATACAGCGAGTGCTAAGTCAGGAAAAGTTCAGCTCCTTCGAGGTCCAAGTTAAACACGTATTAATGAACCTGCCCCTTCCACAGGCTTCCAGACAAAAGTCGGATGTGTCAAGCCCCGGGGTCTGAATTAGGAATTAGCCAAAAAACGAGGCTCTGCAGCAGCCCCAGGAGCAGCTGCCGTGGGGAGAGAGCTCTGGGCTGGCCACGCTGGTCCGGAGCTGTGCTGAGTGTTGTGACAACTCTGCTGCTCACAGTGCCAGGGGGGTGAATGTCCCACGTGTGGGGCTGGCTGGGTGGGTGGGAAGCTGTGGGGGCACCTCCGGCTCCCGTCTTCTGCTCAGAGCAAATCCATTCCTCATGTGGAGGAATGGATTCCCCCCTTTTATCCGGTCTCGTTTCAGCAGCGCAGCTTCCAGCCTTCTGAAAGGAACTGCTCCCATTGCTCGTAAATCTCCTATCAGGAAGCTGTTTCCAAGATTAAAGCTTTAAACGTTTCCCCTCTCTGCTTTCACGGCCCAGCTCCCAATTCCCTCCCTGCTGCCATCACCAGCTCCATCCCCTCCCTCTGGGCACGCCGGGGGCTCTGCCTCACGCCAGGCTCTGTCTGCTCCGAGGAAAAGCTGTGCTGGGACGTTTTGGAATTGGGGTGTGCACCCCAAAGCTTGGGAACGGCCGCTGCGGGCTCTGTGTCGGGGAGTTTGGGAAGCTCTCCCTGCTGCAGTCCCTCCTGGCTGGCTGCAGAGCCGGCTGAGGGTTTGGGGCAGCTGAAGGTCTGGGCAAGGCCCCGGCTTTGGGATGAGCTCCCCAGGGCTCGGGGCCTGCTGTGGGTGTTGGGTCACCCAAAGCGTTCCCGGGGCTGGGAGGATTCTCTGTGGTGGTGGGGCCTTGGATCGGTGGTGTGTGGGCAGGGAAAGGCAGGAGGGAGCTGGGAAAAGCAGGGAAAAAGGCAGGAGGGAGCTGGGAAAGGCAGGAGGGAGCTGGGAAAGGCAGGAGGGAGTAGGAAAAGGCAAGGAAAAAGGCAGGAGGGAGATGGGGAAAGGCAGGAGGGAGCTGGGAAAGGCAAGGAAAGGCCAAGAGGGAGCAGGAAAAAGCAGGAGGGAGCAGGGAAAGGCAGGGAAAAAGGCAGGAGGGAGCAGGGAAAGGGATGGAGCTGGGAAAGGGATGGAGCTGGGAAAGGGACCGGACATCTGGGCTCACGTGGGAGCGCTGTGGGATCCCGGGGCTCTTGGCTGTGGGATCCCAGGGCTCTTGGCTGTGGCACTCAGCCCTTTGTTGGGAAAGCTTGGAGGAGACCCCAAACCTTTTCATCACGCCCTAAAACGAGAGGCAGCCCAAGGCCCCAGCGCGGGGAGAGGCGGATTCCTTGGCAGGGGCTGCTGTGCTGATGGAAGGGGCAGGATGTGGCTGTCCTCAGTGCCCTGGGCATGGCAGCAGGGGCACGGTCCCAGTTCTGGGGGCATCTCTCACCAGCCTTTGTCCCTCTCAGCCTTCAGCCCCCTCAACCCTGCTGTTCCCAGGGGTGTTGTGGGGAAATTCCGTGGGAGGCTCCCAAAAGGAACCTTCTCCTGTGGCCTCTGCTGTCACCCGAGGTCACCAGTCCCCTTTCCGTGCAGGTTGCCTAATCCCTCCTGGCTCAGCCTGTGGGGAATTAGGGGAGTTGAGGATCTGGGCAGGAAAGGTGCTTGCCCTCAGCCCTTTATCTGGCCTCTTCTAATGCTCTCTGTGCCACCAGATAAAATCTTGTGTGCGTTTTTAATTTTGATTTTTGCGCCAGAAAGCAATGCTGAAGTTTCCTCCTGACATTTAACGCACTCAGTCAGTGACAAACCGAATAAACATTCCTGTTTCGTTGGGACAAAGGCTCCAAGATCCTGCTGGGACTAAAATGTTTCATCATTTCCGAAGTAAAACGTTTCAGTTAAAAAAAAAAAAGAAAAGAACAACAGCTAAAAATGACACGTTTCAATGTTTTTCTAATTATTTTCTCCACTTTGGCTGGAACTATTTGTTAAATCTGGCCTGGCTTCTCAAGTAGCTCTGGAACCTTCCAAAACTGCTATTTTGGGCACTTTTGCTGTTATTGATGAATGAGTTTGATCCCTGCCCTGTGTTCCTGTTCATTCCAGGTGTTTTCTGGGGTGTCTTACAGGTGGATGGAGCCTTGGTGCCATAGGCAGGGACACCTCCCACCATCCCAGGTGGCTCCAGCCTGGCCTTGGGCACTTCCAGAGATCCAGGGAACTCCAAACCAGGGCTCCCCACCCTCCCAGGGAGGAATCCCACCCCAGTATCCCACCCCTTGGGGTCCGTGCTGTGCATGACCTGCACTCAGCAGCGCTGCAGGGCATCTCTGGGCCAGGATCTGTCACTTCCAGCCTAGCTCAGGCCCTGGTGACAAAAAGGCAGCTGTGCCTCTCCTGTGGACGTAGTTCTGTGCAAATCAGGGGGAGGAGAGGCGAGGGAACACTTGGTGTTGTCCCTGGGAAATGGTGAGGTGGGAAGGTGGCACTTGGCACCAGGGAGGGAGCACCAGCTGGGGTTTAGCAGCCCTGATAAAGGTCCTGAGGGATCTTTGGTGTGTTAATGCAGGACAAAGGTCCCCTCTGGCTCTGCTGGGGCTCTCAGAGCTGAAGGAGCAGCTTTCCCCAGCAGCGCTGGCTGTGCCTGGGATGTGGCCCCGGAGCCTGGGGGTGCCTCTGTGTCCTGGGGGGAGCGAGGAGGCTGCAGTGAGCCCTGCCTCTCCCCTTCCCCAGCTGGAAAATCCCTCCCCAGCCCTTTCTCCCCCTCTGTCCCCAGATCCCTTCTCAGCAGGGTCTAATGCCCTTGCTCTCTAGGCTGCCTTAATTCTGCCACCAGATGCCATCTGTGTGTGTGGGTGCTGAGCTCCCTCCCCCTGCTGAGCCCCAGCTCCTTCCAGCAGCGTTTGACAGGCAGGAAATGTCTCAAACCCACGGAGTTCCTCTGGAATTCCTGGGGGTGCTGACTGGATTGAGGACCCAGATTTGTGTGGGGGTTCCTGGGAAGGAGCTGTGGTCACTGCTGTGTGAGGATGTGGGAGCTGTAGCTCATCACCCCGAGGGGATTTCCTGCTCCCAGCAGGACAGATTCCATATCCCAAATTGTCCTGTCACTGCAGGCCCTTGCCCAAAGTCTATTTCCATGTTTTTTGTTGTTCCCTTCAGGTGCTGGAAGGCCACAGTGGGGTCACCCCAGAGCTTCTCCAGGCTGAGCAATCCCAACTCTCCCAGCCCTTCCTCGTGGGAGCCGTGCTCCATCCTGCTAATCCTCCTCTGGATTTGCTCCAACAGGTTTGTGTCCCCAAAAAACCACCCTGAGCTGGGTCAGGGAAGGGCAGCCCGAGCCGTCTGTGCTCATTTTCATCTGCAAGGATGGCAACAGAGCCCTGCCAGAGCTCCAGGAGCCTTTGGACAACACTCCCAGGCACAGGGGGATTTCTGGGCTCTGTGCAGAGCCAGGAGCTGCCCTCTGCTCCCCGTGGGTCCTTCCCACTCAGGATATGCCACGATGGATCCATGCAGGGCTGTAAAATGAAAACTGCTGCTCCACAGAACCACTGAGTTCTAAAAACAGGCGACAGCTTTCCCAAAGCTTTCCCTTAAGATCTGGGGCTGCCCTTTCCTGGTTAAACACGGGATCCTGGTCTACCTGAGCAAGACTGAGCAGCTTGACCTGTTTTCCCCCCACAAAACCTCCCTGTTCCCTCTCATTCCCCTGCCCCAGAGGTTTCTACACTAGGCAGCATTTGCAGAATTCAGAGTCTCTCCTCACAGCTGCTTTTGCTGCTGCCCCTATACAGATCATCAATATCCATGTGCTTCATCAGCTTCATCTCTTGTGAGTGCAGGTGAGCCCGGTGGGCAGAAATGCTGATGTCTGACTCCAGTTCAAAAAGCTGAACGATTTCTTTATTATAACTATACCATAATACATTAAAATGCTATTTAAAGGAGATACTGAAACTACAAACCTACTTTTTCTAACTCCCATATCTGACTCTCTCCAGAGTCCAGCCCCAGGTGGGTTGGGTTGCCCACCAGGCTCAAACAATCCTCACTAGAACCCAACCAAGCATCACCCCAGGGAAACAATTCTCCAAGCACATTCCACATGGGAAAACAAGGAGCAGAAATAGGAATGGTTTTCTCTTTCTTCCCTCTGTGCTCCTCTGTGAAAAATCCTGAGAGAGAGGAGAATGTTCCTGCCACATTCACCTTCGTCTGGAAAGAGCTCCGGGAATCCAGAGCGGGATCAGCCTCTGGAAAATCCTTTCCTGTGGGGTCCGGGAGGCGAATGTTTGCCACGAGAGGGGGGTGTGAGCCCGCTGGGCTGGCTCGGGGCACTCATCCCGCTGTCCCAGGGATGCTCCATCCCGTTTTCCCAGGGATGCTCCTGGCTGCCATCTGGGCAAGGAGCGCTGTGCACAGCCCCGCTCCTCCCTGGGCTGCTTAAAAGCATCGTTTTCCTCGGATAGATCTGGGTTTTCTGCATTTATCTGTGTGTGTTTTCTGTATTTATCTGTGTTTTCTGCATGTATCTGTGTTTTCTGCATTTATCTGCGATTTCTGCGTTTATCTGTGTGTGTTTTCTGTATTTATCTGTGTTTTCTGCATTTATCTGTGTTTTCTGCATATGTATGTATTTTCTGCATATATCTGTGTGTGTTTTCTGCATATATCCGTATTTTCTGCATAGATCTGTATTTTCTGCATTTATCTGTGTTTTCTGCATATATATATATTTTCTGCATGTATCTGTATTTTCTGAATATATATGTATTTTCTGCATAGATCTGTGTTTGTTTTCTGCATAAATCTGTATTTGTTTTCTGCATGTATCTGTGTCTTCTGCATGTGTCTGTTTTCTGCATTTGTCTGTGTTTGTTTTCAGCATGTATCTGTATTTTCTGCATTTATCTGTGTTTGTTTTCTGCATATATCTGTATTTTCTGCATGTATCTGTGTTTGTTTTCTGCATGTATCTGTATTTTCTGCATGTATCTGTATTTTCAGCATGTATCTGTTTGTTTTCTGCATGTATCTGTATTTTCTGCATGTATCTGTGTTTGTTTTCTGCGTATATCTGTATTTTCAGCTTGTATCTGTATTTTCTGTGTATATCTGTATTTTCCCCGTGAGCTGCCCCCACTGCCCCACATTCTCCCTTTGCACTGATGCAACTTTTCGTGGCTGTGGTTGCAGAAACCCGGTTGGAGGAGCTGATCTGGCTCATCCCAGTTGTTTTTTCCCCCCTTTCCCAGGTCAGGAACATTTCTTTCCCAGGTGTTCCTTGAGCACGTTGTGTCCTGGGGTCGGAATTATCCCAGCTATTCTCTTCTATTTGCTGGGACATCAAAAGCCCAAATTTCTGCTGCTGGGTGATCTCCAGGTCATCAAGGCAGACCCACGTACAGAAAACTTGGAGAAATTGTTTGATTTCAGCTTGAGCTCAGACTGGGAATGGAGAGATCTGAAGTTTTTTCTGGTTTATGTCTTTTCTCTGTTGATTTCTTCCATTATTTTGCAGCCCACATGCAAAGACTAAAACACACAAGGAAAGGCTTGGATGTTCAAATATCCTCTTGTGTGGAATATTCCCTCCCACATCAGAGAAAACAGAAAAACAAATAATCTTTTTTTTTTTTTTGAGGAAGAAAATCATTAACATTCACTGGAATTTAAATTTTGAACTCAGTTTTGTGACTGGGGCCGGTTATGTGCCTTTGTAAACCCAAATATTTTTATCCAACAAACCATCTCCTAGCGAGGCTGACTCCAGGGAGGGACTATCCACGGGATCCAAACCCAGCTCTCCTCATTTTGTGCCTTTTTCCTGGGGATTTGAAACCTTGGGAGCAGGTTCTGGGTCTGTGGAGCCAGGCCATGCACGTGCTGTGCAGTTGCAGCGTTTGCAGTTGAATTCTTGTGTGAAATTTCCTTTCTGCTCTGGCTGCTGCAGGGAGATTAGGAATAATCCCCAGTCCCCATCCATCAAACTTAATTAGGGCCATTTCCTAATTTCTCCAGCTGCCCATTTCCTTTGGGCAGCTGGAGAAGACCGAGCACCTTGTCATCACTTCCAGGAGGGAGAAGGACCCACAACCTCCCTCCAGGGTGGGCTGGAAAATCCCAACCAACATCAGGAGACCAAAAAAAAAAAGAAAAAATCTGCTGAAAAAGCAGAAAATCCCGTGATTTAGGGGATTCCAGGTACTCAGTGATACCGTGCTCAGTGCTCTGCTCCTGACCTGTTTTCCTGCCTCTGCCTCCCAGAAATTGGGAGATCCTGGGCAGTTTTTCCCGTGTTTTTCTCTGAAGTGGCCGTGGTTTGTTTTTCCTGAGAAAGGCTTTGTGATTTTAGAAGATATCAATTGAAATCGAATCTGAATCTGTCCCAGGGAGGCTGTTGGTTGGATGAGCATCTGGATTTATTTATTTTGTTAGTATTTTTTAGTTCTTACGTTGTTTTTGCATCCCTTAGGTCCCATCCCAAGGAAAACATGGAGGGGAGGGGTTAAGCTAAAGCCGCTGTCTTTTGAAATGTCCATTAATCCCCATTTATACAAGGGAAGTTTTTTCCAGAGGTCACAATCAAAACGTGTCCCAGTTATCCTGATGAGTTGTTCCTCACTCTCTGATGTAGAACCTTGACAAAATGTCCTGGATTTGACTTTTTTCCTGTGATTTGGGGTTTCCTGGGTGGGTTTGGGGTTTCACCTGGGGAAGCCAGTGGTGACCTGGGCTGACCCCACAGCAGGGGAGGGGGGATTCTGCCCTGCCCAGGTGAGACCCCACCTGCAGAGCTCCTCCAGCTCTGGGACAACTGCAGAAGGACCTGGAGAGAGTCCAGAGGAGGGCCTGGAGCCCCTCTGGAGCTCTGGGGGGGTTCACTGGAGAGGAGAAGCTCCAGGCAGAGCTCAGAGCCCTTCCAGGGCCTGAAGAGGCACCAGGAGGGGGACTTGGGACAAGGGATGGAGGGACAGGACCCAGGGAATGGCTCCCACTGCCAGAGGGCAGGGATAGCCACTGGTCATACTGGTTTGGGCTGTACTGGCATTGATTTGAGCACTTTGTGCCATGTCTGTCCCCAAACAGCCCCTCAATGCCACACCTGGCAAATTATCCAAAATGTCCTGGTCCTCCAGGTGGTGCTTTTTTTTTTTTTTTCCCCCCTCAGGATATATTTGAGTGACCCTGACTTCCCTCCCTTGGCTTTGCTGGGCTGGCAGAGCCCTAATTCCCAAGGGCTGGGATTTGTAATTCCTGGCACGGAAAACAGCATTTAATGGATTTGTTGGGTCCCTTTTTATCAGCCTTTCCAGGCTGCCTCTTATCTCAGCGCTCTGGGGAGGGCTGAGATGGGATTAGGAGGAGTGCAGGCTGATAAGGGAGGCAGGAAGGGAGCTGGGGAGGATGGATGCAGCTCCAGCAGCAGAGCTGGCAGGGATGAGGGATGGATGGACCCAGCCCAGGGAAGGAGGCAGCCCTGGAATGGCAGCTCAGGGCCTGGGAGTGCCTCAGCACCTCCTGGAACCTGTTGGGCACACGTGGAGGGAGCTGACACTTGGCTTCCTGCACGTCCTTGCCAGAATCACAGAATAACCAGGCTGGAAGAGACCCCTAATTCCCTCCTTTAATTTGCCTTTGCTTATTTTGAATACGAAGCTCCTCCATGGCAGTGTTTATAGTTCATAAAGCCTCGGGCCCTTTGCTTATTCTCCTTTTTCCATCCCTCCTGAACCGCCTTGGCTCGCTGTGCCCTTTCCCTGCCTGCAGAGCACCAGGATCAATCACAGTCCCTGTCCCCAGCCACAGAGTTCCCATCTCCCGGGAGTCCTGTTCCCAGACACCACAGTGCCTCCCTCACAAATCCTTCCCCTTCTCATCCCTTCCAAACTCCTCTCCTCTCTCCCGAGCCTGCCGAGCTCTCCCAGCCTCGAGGAAGGTCCCTGGCACCTGCAGGACACCCTGGATGTTCCTGGGGTGGCATCCCGGTGCTCAGGGTGTCCCCACCTGCTCTGGGAGCTGTGGAGGTGCTGGCTGGCACCTCCTGGCCTTATCAGCCTGCTGGCACAAGCAAATGCCACCAGCTCACTGCTCCATATCAGCCTCGGTCACCGTTTCCCTTCGGCTCTTCCCAAAATAGGTCCAAAGCAGGAATGCCCCGATTCCATCTCACCAGGGGTGTGGTGAGGAGCGAGTGCTGGCTGCATCCCAGCTCTGCTCCCCTTCCAGGAGCTCCTGGACCAGGGTGGGCCTTGTTGGGAGAATTTTCTTTTGGTTGTTTGTAC